ACATGCCTGTTCCTAGATGACTCATAAAGTAATTATACATTGGCCCTTTCATTCATGCAAACGTAGCTGTGTTACACAACACGATCCTCTGCATCTTTTGCTCTGTCAGGGTCTAGCTACTTCACAATGAACAAAGACCACTTCTCATATAGCATCACGCTTACAAACATAAAGGTGCCTGTATCTCCAAACTTTACACTGAAACGTGTGGTTTTTATTAGAGCAATGGGCTCAGCTTGGCCAACAGCACCTTGTGTGAAAGCTTTACGTTCAATGTCGCAAACAGCCCAAAAAATATTTTTTTTGGTCGTCGTCGTCGAAGAGGTCGACCCCCAGATCCAGTTTGGCTGGTGGCGACATTGCGAAATCTGGGATTAGCCACGATGAACTTGAAACTTGCACCCAAGGTGCAGTTGGCCAAGCCGGGCACATTGCTCTAATAAAAACCCCACGTTTGATTTTAAAGTTTAGATATACAGGTGTCTTTATGTTTTACATATACTGGATGTATGATGCTATATGAAAGGTGGTCATTATTTAATGTAAAGTGGCTAGACCCTGGAGAGTCAAAGATGCAGAAAGACCTCTTTGTGTAACTGAGCTAAAAAAAAAGTCAGGCCTTCAGGGAGAATGCATGACAGGTACGCAAACCTCATTTTCAGGTCATTCATTGGCAGCCAACAGCCACTTTTTTCCGATCAGCATTGTTGCAAAATCCGCTGCATGGGAATTATGCGTCTGCTGCAGAGACCTATTTCTATGATTCAAGTACATTGCACTATCACAGCTCACTCTTTCAGAAAACGAAGTAAGCTTAAAATGAGCATCATTACTCTTGCATGTAGCACCTTTGCAATACAAGCGTTATAGAATACCGCCCCCAACTATCTTTCGACGATCAGCTTTTGAACCAGGAAGCTTTAATGAATGTAGTAATAATCTTGCGACAAAAGTACAAAAGCATCTCGGTACGATGATGTATGTAAATGATCCAATCTTCCATCTTGGCCTTCAAGCTTCTATTCCCCTTTCAATCCACCAACCAACCAAGTGATCCATATCTTGCACATATAAGCTGATAGTACGATACCCTTCTAAATATCATGTTGAATCCAATTTCATTCAATGACACATTCAAAGAATAGTAGCACATGGTAGCGTGGATGTTTATCAAGCGAATATGATAAAGAAACAGCATTGTAAATTGAATAAGCTACGGGTGGATCACATAGAGGCAACAGGGATAACTGTGTGGTGTTATTCTTGGTTGCTGCTGTCGTAATCATCCTTCACCCACGATTACAAACTAGCTGCTGCATTGATGAAATCGAGTACTTCAATATCATCCATGGCTGTACAACCCTTTTTGGCAAAGATAAAAGTCCTTTCACCACCATCCTCAGGCGTATCCACATCACACGATCCAACGTTTCTGCTGACGACGCGCCAAGTAACCAAAGCGACATTTCAGGATTTCCCATCACTGCATTTGATTGCATCCATCCATCACCATAATCACTGTAAGTCCAACATGTTGGTTGAAAGAGCCAAGGGATCGCTGCTGGTGTACTTTCTTCTCCATCCGGCTGTTGATCGACCACATGCATGGTCAGCTCAACCAGGTGAAGATTGCTTGTATTGCGGTGTAGTCCTTGAGAGCTGATATGGTATCATGGAAACTGAACATCACGTCGCACCCTTCATTGAATGATAATCATTCTTAGTCACCATCTCTCAGTCAATATCCTTATCTATCCTCTTTCATACCTTAATAATGGGTGAATCACAATACAAAGTATCGTGTAGTAGTGTGCTGCTGGACAATAGCGTGTGTAATGATGCATGAAAAGATGGTGAACGACGATCATAATAATCCATGAGCTGCCGGAGGTACCAACATCCAACATATTCAATCGACCATAAAGGCAATGTAAGATAGCAAGCACAGCGGTTGTTTTACTTGTCAACATACCCGGAGCAAAAGTGTAAAGACCTGTTGGGACCTCTTCTTGTATGACAACCATGGAACGAATACACACCACGCCCACTTAGACTATAAACGAGAGAGCAGCAAACTACACGTAGACTTTAGTATCTCAACGTCCAACTTGAATAATAAAGAAATGCAGCGAATTGAACTGAACGTACGTGTTGTATTGCAATCGAAGCCTGAGTCATGGGTAGATCGCACGCGTACTTGTTGTTGAGAGTCTGCAACTGGAAAGTGTCGCCATTGACCACCAGTTCACCCAGTTGACGCTGTACATTGAAAGGGACGCTAGCTGTTAATGCGTTGTAGTTTGTCAATGGAGACAAGCTTACCTTGCTTTGTGAAACGGGAGAGGAGAAGAAGGGGCTCTTTGTCTTCCTTTTCGTTGTTCTCAATTTGTGCCTTCCACACCACCCTGCTTGCTGTTGTTAATATGGCACCTCCACAATAGCCTAAACACTTGGGTCAATACCAACGACCATTACGCGAGATTCCCTTGTAAGTAAGCTTTACATCATTTTTACTATGGCTGGGTTGGCGTCAATTAGGTCCGTGCACATCAATGCAACCATCATAGGACTCCTCTTACCAAACATAGCAGAACGTAATATGGAATGGATAGCTTTTTCATGATAGGATGCTGTTTACGTATCTTCTCCAAGCCAATCATCATAGAGACGCATGTATGTAACCACCAAGTACAATTCACTCGGCTCTTCCTCTTGCCTATAATGCTGTCGACACCGTTAGCTAGAAGAAAGCAGCTCCATCATGCTTACAGGATGGGTGGTGCGGTTGTGTGGAGATTGAAAAAGAGGTTGAGGTGGAAGAAAAAAAGGCCGAACTCCGAAGCCTTTGGGCGAATGAAATCATCGAATTCCACGTGATGAAGGCAGTGGTTTGCCCTAAATCTGAAGAGAATGACACCCATTCACTTTTTTTCTCGAAAAAACCTACATTTATGTGATTGTAGTAAAATTTACGATCAAAATGATATAAAAAACGTTGGAATTGGGCGTAGCTTCATGTATAACGGTGGGGAAAAGTGTGAAAATGAAGAGACCCACAAGTTGACAATGGGGGTCCCTAAAACCATTATATAAGTAGATCGATTCCTAGGGTAAATGAGCACCTAGGCAAGTCTCCATCGCGGAGGGTGATTGGAGATGTAAGCCCTTTGAAAAAAGAAATAACCTCCTGTCCCTCCCAGAAAGGTCTCCTGAAGATGCGGGCAGTTGGTGCTACCGCTAGGGGTGGGGATGGTGAGACAAACCTTCACGTTGGTCATCCCTGTGAGTACATGACGAAAGTCATCGAAACCAATTGTCTCTTCCTTTTTTGGCTTTTTTTCTTGGATCAGTTACACATAATCGCAGGTTCGATTCCCACTCCCTGCACCTATTCCACACACTTTTTCTTTACTTTTGCATCACTTTCGTTACTTTTTGATTCCCACACCCCATTTCCTTTTCTTTTCTTAGCATTTACAACCTTTACAACGCTTACTTCATATCTATTATCTATAAACAACAACTATCGTCGTAGTATAACTAGAAAAGTAGTTGCAAAGAATAAGAGACAACCAGCAACAGAGTTTATTTGAAGCATTTTATGCTATTCTTTTCTTTCATCTTATTTTCATTGTATCGGGAGTGCCTTTAATTTCATGCACCTCGTCAAGAGCAACCTCGTCTGCACACACCCAAGTATACGCACGTTACTTTTTATCTTTTCCACTCACCCTGATCCCAACCATGTCCTCATTGGCGGAAACGATCTTGCTAATGAGTGAGTTAGCTTCAACAAAAGCACCAGCAATACACGAGGTTCATGACGTAAAAGCTGCTTGAGCCATGCAAAAGTTCTTCAGCAACGGTGACCATGACAACGGGTGGATTCAATCAGGCTACTAAACGGCCAATGCTATTGGAGACTGAAGCTGATACTATACATGCATGTTGAAACGACATGACAGGGCAGGTAAACTCTAGGCGAACGTTTCCAAAGGACGCAGTGCTCATAAAGGTTGTTTGCAGTGGATGGATTGAATGCATCAATTTGCCTCAAGCCAACAAAGGTGGATTATACAATCGAGTAAGATATTTGAATCGTCGATAGCAAGGTTGGTTGGTGGATCGGCTGGTTGGCATGCTACTTCCACGGCTAGTACTTGGCAAGGATTACTTCAAGGGATGATGCGTATGAAACAAGGTTCACCATTACAGCGATTATGACGACCATTTATGATACAAAGCACCATCCAATGTCACTGCATTGTTCCAATCCTTTTCGCCGTGACAAGAAATGAGAACAAAACCAAGACCAACCCTCTGAATGAAACCACTTGTATACATATAGCATAATAGCACCATAGTTTTGATATGTAAATAAGCATTTCTTTTTACATCACAGCACGTTTTATGGATCATCAGTGTTAAAGTTAAAGGAGTGGATGAAAACGAAGAGGAATGTGGCCAACAGTAATCGCCTACGTGTGCCTGGATGGGTACTGGATTATGAATCTGATTAAGATAGCAGAGTGTTTGTCTTGTAGCTAATAGACCCATGCTGATGAAAAGTGTAGTAATTAACATTGCACTAGGGTGATGCTTTATGGAGCTATTCAGATACGATGGGCTCGCGTGTGTAGACGCGTCCTGGCAGCCATTAAAACCCAGCCACCGACTTTGGCTTTGGTGTCGTATGTTTTTGGTAAACGAACGCGCGACATTGTGTCTCTTGAATCAGTTCATTCTATCGACAGCACGTACTTCCTCTTGATTGGCAACAGTTATCGACTTTATCACGCCCATTCAACTATCCCAGCCCAAGAATTTTAGCCCGATAACCAACCATTCAACCTATCCGAGGCACTACAAGTTATAGTATGTCAAGTAACCACCACACACCATCCAGGGACAATAGACGCTTGGGTGGTTTATGGGGTGTGGGATGTTTCGTTTATTACAAGGTATTGACTGAAAATCGGTTCTATAGCATAAGCTCTATCATGCCGTCAAAAGCACCATTGTCCAAGGCTCAAGAAGAAGAAATGAGCTCGGCCCTCATTGCAAAGCTGCTCGCTGAAGACGCTATGGGTGGTGGAAATACGGACGACTATTATGCCGAGTACAGCAACGATCATGCAAGCTATGATCAATATCATGGTCGTGATGAAGATGACGGTGGAAGCTATGAGGAGATGAGTGATGATGATATGTACGCACCCAGACGAAAGCAAAGCCGTGGCAAAAAAGCATCCAATGCAACAGCAGGTATGGATGGGTCAGTGATGGATCAAGAATAAGGAAAGACCTATTGTTGATACATTGCTTGTAGGAAAGCGTGGACGAAAGAGGAAGACTACAGATACGGCACAAGAGAAGGCACAAGGATCCAGCGATCAGACAAATGACACGAGCACCACTGATACTGCTGCTGCAACTGATACGGGGAAAAAGCCAGCTACCAAGAAACCACGGAAGCCTGTGCCAGAAGGATGTAATACAGGTGTCTACTCTGAGAAGGAGGAAGCATTGTTCCTTGAAGGATTGGAGAAATTTGGAAGAGATTGGCACAAGGTATGCAATTCTTGTATGAGGAGTGTGTGAGAGAGAGAACATTCATTCACGAGAATACGTTTTAGTTGACCGAGCATATTGGTACTCGAGAACCCAATTCGATTCGAAGCCATGCACAAAAGTACTTTATCAAGCTTTACCGTGACAACATTCCTTTGCCAGCCAAGGTATGTGTGTGTATGAAGATGAAAGGGATAAGAGACATCGTTGATCTAATAGTGTTGGTTCTAGGTGCGTGAGAGTGGTGAAGGATACACATTATCAGGCAAGCCATTGGATCCCGAATCAGCTGCAGCAAAAGCATATCTTGGCCGATCATCAGCATCATCCTCAGGCCCACGACCTACACAAAAGCAACCTCAGGAACCCTCTTCCGATCAACAAAGCACTGAACAACAACAACAACAACAACCAGCACAACCTGAATCAAGCGACAAATCCGACAACACAGCTAGCAATCCTGATCTCAAGATAGGCGAATCTTCTGAAAAGAAAGAAAAGGCTCCATCACCACCACGTGAGAAGAAGAAGGTTGAAAAGTAAGCATGACATACATCAGCGATATCAACAACTTTATCTAAATGCACATTGATAGAAAACCAACACCTGAACCTCGCCCAGCATCACCTTCACCCTATGATGAAAATGGTCGGACCGATTATTCAAAGCGTAAGCTGCGTCGAACACGTGAACGAACAGCTATCGCATACAGCCAATTGAACAAGGATGAGTAAGTGCAACCGTTGGCCATGATCGATCAAAGCTAAGTCGTGCTTTTTTAGTGATCCATTGACGATGGTCAAGTGCGAGCCATTCGCAGGCAAACCTGGATCGGATATTGCAGGTTGTCAGCCATTTGAATTACAAGTACATTCCAACGTATTATTGGCCATGGATTTCCACGCTCATTTGATGACTACCGAGATCATTGGTTTCCTTGCTGGTGAATGGGACAAGGAGCAGCGACGTAAGTTTGTGCATTGTTTGAGTAGGTGACACAAGAGCTTAATTTCGGATTTTATTTAGGCATGTGCATCAAGGAAGCGTTTCCATGCCGATCATTAAATACTGGACAAAACGATGTGAATGTGGAAATGGATCCTACCAGTGCCATCGAGACACGACAACGTATTGAGGAGAAGAACATGACTGTCGTTGGCTGGTATCACTCGCATCCCATGTTTGCACCTGATCCAAGCATTGTCGACCTTGAAAACCAGCAAAACTATCAGACCCTTTGCAGAGAGAAATGTGGCGAGAATGGAAATCAGACTGTGGAGCCCTTTGTTGGAGCCATTATCGGCCCTTATGATCCACGACTCCCAGGCTCACTTTCGGTCGTCAATTGGTTCTATGTCAGCGACTCTAAAGCGGATCGTGGTGTACCCAAGCGTTTAATTTACGAGCTACAAGAAGATGAATCGCTTTGTGAGGAGCAAACGGAACGATTGGTGAGTTTTGTTATGATGTAATCATCCATCCATCCATTCATTCATAGCTAACGATGATGTATGCTAGCTAAACCTCCTTGAAGTATACAAGGATTCACCTGAGAAGGTTGACTTTACCGATATGTGGCGTCAAGACATTCACGAGAACAAACTTGAAAAGTTAATCAAGAGCTTGGGTATGCGGATGCCATGGATACACAAGGAACAGCCACAGGATGCCGAACAACAAGTTGACCCGTTCTTGAACAATGTACGATCCAAACTCAAGGACTGGTAGTGCCAAAGAGCGAGAGCGAGAGAAAGAGAGAGAGGATAGCCTTGTATATTTGTGTGATTAGTGTAATATTTCTCTGGGTCTACCATGTCGTTCTCATAAGGCTACAGAGACCTCTCTAGTTACAGCTCGCGTTGAGCACAAGGGAAGGGTTGGGAGGAAGAGTGAATTGGGTTGCCGTTGTTTTTTTTGATTGACAACATTTCAAAGGGGATGAATGGGTGTGTGGAGTGTAGTACAATGACGTGCTTTCATCACGTGGTCCGTTTAATTGATAATCAATGGGTCATCTATTGGGGGTCATCTATCTAATGAATGACATTTCGTCTTTAAGGCAACAATGTCCCTTTGATGAGGATACATACATACAATGGGGGATGTGTGTGGTGAGGGATGTTTCAAACCTATGTAGCGGAGGAATTGATATCCTTAACAGGACCAGTAAAAGTACTCAAAATGAGTCAATCTTTAAAAGTAAATCCATCTCCAGACTTTTTCTCTCCTTTTACCTTTTCTTTCACTTGCCGTTTTCTTTGTTGCCCCCATGACCAAAAACGACATCACCCTTCTCATTGACAACTACGACAGCTTTACGTACAACGTGTACCAGTATTTGTCTTCGCTTGGAGCCAACGTTGTTGTCCACCGCAACGACAAGATCACGATCGACGAGATTGAAGCACTGAACCCTGTCAACATTGTCATTTCACCTGGTCCTGGTCACCCTTCGCACGATGCTGGCATCAGTCGTCAAGTGATCACTCACTTTGCTGGAAAACTGCCGATTTTTGGTATTTGCATGGGCCAACAGTGTATGTTTGAGGTGTTTGGCGGCACTGTGTCATACGCTGGTGATATTCTTCACGGCAAGACATCGACTATCAAGCATGATGGACGTAGTGTGTTCAAGAATGTGCCACAAGACAATCAAGTTACGAGATACCATTCACTTGCTGGTATGCCAACCACTGTTCCTGATCCTTTGGAGGTCACTGCCACCACCGATGATGGTGTGATTATGGGTATTCGACACAAGGAGTATACGATTGAAGGCGTCCAATTCCATCCTGAAAGCATCCTTTGCGAGAATGGCCACACGATGCTTGGTAACTTTTTAAAGTTGCGTGGTGGTACATGGGAAGAGAATCCTGGTGCTGGTGTTATGCCAAAGAAGACTTCTCCCGTTCCAGCATCCTCTGCAGCATCCACGACAACGACTACCAATGCTCCTTCGACCAATGGTGTCTCTTCGATCCTCACTCGTATCTATGCTCAACGCCAACAAGATGTCGAGGCTGCTAAGCAAGTCCCTGGCCAGAGTCAAGAGCATCTTGAGACTTTGGTCAATTTGCATGTAGCTCCACCCTTGAAAGACTTCGTTACCCGTTTGCGTCAAACACCTCTTGCATTGATGGCTGAAGTGAAGCGTGCCTCTCCATCCAAGGGCGATATTGATATCACTGCTAATGCTGCTGAACAAGCTCTCAAGTATGCATTGGCTGGTGCCAGTGTTATTTCCGTATTGACCGAACCCAAGTGGTTCCGTGGATCACTGCATGATATGCGTCAAGTGCGACAAGCATTGGATCATCTTCCTAATCGACCCGCCATTTTGCGAAAGGATTTCATTCTCGATCGTTATCAGATTCTTGAAGCTCGTTTGTATGGTGCTGACACCGTCTTGTTGATTGTTGCCATGTTGGATGACGACCGTTTACGTGATTTGTACAACTATGCAAAGTCGCTTGGTATGGAACCACTCGTTGAAGTCAACAATGCAGAGGAAATGGCACGTGCAAATGCTCTTGGATCCAAGGTGATTGGCGTCAACAATCGCAACTTGCACAGCTTTGATGTTGATATGGAAACGACCACACGTTTGGCAAAGATGGTTCCAGCGGATACAACCTTGTGTGCCTTATCGGGTATTGCTAGCCGTGCGGATGTGGAGCCTATGATTGAACAAGGTGTGGGTGCTATTCTTGTTGGTGAATCGTTGATGCGTGCCTGGAATCTCAAGGAGTTTGTTGCCGAATTATTGGGTTTCTCAAAACAAGATGCCATTGCCGCCGAAGCAGCAGCAGCAGCCAACAACACAAAGCCCCTTGTCAAGATTTGTGGTATTTCTTCTGTTGAAGCAGCTGTGGAAGCAGCCAATGCGGGTGCTGATTTGATTGGCTTGATCTTTGTACCAAAATCCAAGCGATGTGTTTCCATGGATACGGCACGTGAGATTGTGAATGCAGTACGAGGACTTGAGCAGCCTACCAAGAAAAAGAACAGCAAGACAACATTATCAGATGACTGGTTTGCTACCCATAAGCGACTCTTGGAGAACCGATCACGCAAACCACTTGTTGTGGGTGTTTTTGTGAACGAGTCTATTGACACCATGGCCGAGATTGCATCCACTGTTGGTCTTGATTTGATCCAATTGCATGGCACCGAGCCCGCTGAAGTTGCCAAATTCTTACCTGTACCTGTCATCAAGGCATTCCACATGGATACTTCATCATTCAGCCCCAACCAGATTCCACACATCACTCAACCCAACAACCATCACTATGTTCTTTTGGATGCAAAGGTGTCTGGTGTACCCTTGGATCAGCAAGGAGGTCGTGGTGTAAAGTTCGATTGGTCCATTGCTCAGCAAGTTGTCAACCATAAGCGACCCGGCTATAATGACAATGCTCGCTTCCCAGTGATTTTGGCTGGTGGTCTTGATCCTTCCAACGTGGTCGAAGCCGTGCGTCAAGTACAACCTTGGGCTGTGGATGTTTCTTCCGGTGTCGAGACTGATGGCGCAAAGGATATGGAAAAGATTCGTGAATTTGTGCGCTTGGCCAAGTCTGCCTAAAGCAATGATACGCTCTAGTAGATAGCTTTCCCCCAGTTTCTGCAATAATTATACCGTTTTGCTTTCTGGCTTTATATGATTTGAGAGTATGCATGAATTGTGGGATAGTGAGGGAATAAGGGTGATTGATGGGGTGCTTGTTAAAGCATAGAGGTGGAGCAATGGTCTTCACAAGTGGATGCCATTGTAGCTACAACAATGATCAGGCACAACAACATGCTTATTTTCATTGTAATACAACCACAAAACACCCTAGTGGTTCGATTAAAAGGGTTGACTCTTTGATGATGCATGGTCTTTCCTTTGTTTGAGGGATGCAGCTTCACCAATTATAGAATGTGATACCCAAAGATATGGGTTGAGACTACCAATATCCGGATCTAAGAGTAACATTCCATTGTACAATCAAATGGATGTAGAAAAAGGGGAACTAGCTACGCCAAAAAGGCTCCTTGCATGTTAGAAGATTATCAACGACAACGATCGACGTATCTTCATCGTTGCCATTTTAAACATTTGAAGGCATTGAAGGTGCTTTTTACCTTTGAAGGTAAAGTGATGATTACGTACATTCAAATCAAGATAATAAAAGGTTGTCTAAGATGGATGACTGCCATCACAAAGGCGCGACATTTCAAGGACCTATGTCCGTGCGTTTTATGTTATCACACCCCGCAAAGATGGGTATTACAAGATAGGGACCACTACTCTATTGGATACCATGATCGAGATTGGCACAAGGATTGCCGAGGAATTGAGCTGGGTTTTCAATCCAAGCACTGAGACAGAAAGTAAAAGGTCAATAACACATTACGTGATTAGCATGACCATGTCAACTTGCATTCACCCTTGTAATGATTAGATAATAAGGGACGTGCATTGTTGTTGACGTGTATGGCATCCCACTCGATATGCAAGCTACACACCGGGACTGTTTCAGATGTGCGTGTGAGTAAGTGTGACTATAACGTAGATCACCCGCTGGTACCTTTTCCACCAAAAAAAATCCTGAGCCGCGGCTTTTGAGTCAAGGTATAACGGGGCCGTTGGGGGTATTTTTGTTTTTCCCATGCAGTCTTAATCTAGCACTTAATACCGCCCGAGAAGGTGGTACAACAAAGTGACCATACCCCACACACGAGTTATATGATGCCAAGAGGCCCACCAACATGATGTTCCATACATCCAAGCTTTCGGGTTAAAATTCATCACTCAGTGCGTCTCTTCTGTTTAGTACGTTGTTTCGACCAGTGGGACACATGGCTTGAGTCGTTATTATCATTTCGGAGCTATAAAAGCTTTGCTTTTGCTTTCCTTGTAATCAAGAAACGTTGCCACTTCCTTTTTGGTTCTTTTTATCCCTTCCTCTTCCCTAAAGCTTTCATCCACCATACCCATACGCACGTTTTAAGACACACACAACACCTTTTCACCTCTCACTCTTTGCTTTCTACCTTGACGAACAATGGATCCTGATATCAGCATGGATAGTGATGGCACCTCATGCTACTCTTCACCCGACAATACAACATCATCAAGCAACTCACCTTCTGCTACCACTGAAATCAATACCAACACCACCAACACATCACCACAGCAACCTGAATCCCCATCGAACACCAAAAATACAACAACAGACCCTCCTGTCAAGGTGCGCAAGAAGCCTGGACGCAAACCCAACCCCGCATCGCCGGCACTTCGGAAAGCACAAAATCGAGCAGCACAGCGAGCGTTTCGAGAACGTAAAGAGAAACATTTACGTGAGCTTGAAACAACCATCAAACAAGTACGGCAGGAACGTGACCAGCTGTTGGGGGAGAATGATCAACTCAAGAACGACAATGATATCTTGAAATGTGAAAATTGGTATCTTAAAGGGATTGTGTTATCGTTGCAGCTTGTGTGTTTGCAACATAATATCACCATTCCGCAGCATGGACCACACATTAACGACCAAACCTTATCCGTGCTGGCACAATCTATTCCAGAACCCATTTCATCGTACATTGATGTCAACTCCAAGAGCCAAATTCCTTCGTTTAATAAGACAGCATCCAAACAACAACGAGATCGCTATGTATCTTCATCCACCATTGTATTAACAGAAGAAGGAGCCAAATCCATGCCATCGAATCATCATCGTCGACGTTCTTCCACACCAGCCAATTTGCCAGACTTGACACCAGTGGATGAACCTATTCATAACAACCATTATGCACAACAACAACAACAACCACAACAACAGCCATCTTCTCGACCACAACCACAACCAACCTCGACTCATGTACCACGACCGGTGATGCTCAGCGACGAAGCACTCACATCCAATCTTGCCGCTATCCAAGCTTTACGTCTTCGTTTGCGTCTCCAAGCAGCATGTGTACGAATGAGCTCATTGCCATTTGCTATTCAACCGACATTGCTACAGGTAAATGGGACTCTTCGAAACGTACAAAGACAAGCTCATTAACGTACTTTCCTTTCAGCTGACCATTCCACACGATCCACGAATTGACTTGATTCCCACACCGTCTATGCGTGATAGAATGATATTGTTCAGGGACCAATTTAGCCTTGACGACTGTTTCAGGTGTTTGTTGAGTGGCTCCGTATTCCATGGTGGTGATCCAGCAATTGCAGGCAACTGGCAACTCCCCCCTGAATTCTTTGAAAAGTACTGGTTCCTGACAATTGACTTTTCATTGCACCGAATGACCAACCAGTGGAGACGTATGCAAGGTTTACAAGAAGTACCCACTCAGCCAGAAAAGTTTACCACATTTGCTACGGCATCAGAGCTATCATCCTTCCTTGGCATCGATATCCCTGAATTCAACAAGCAACCATCCTCCTCCTCTTCTCCTTCAGATATGGATATGGATCCTTCAGCCGTGTTGGAAGCAGTACCACCATCATCGCAACCCCCCACATCTACAACATCTTATCCAGCTTCTTTGGCATCCACGGCATCTTCAAAGACCACTGTCAATAATGAACAAGTAGAGATGTTTTCAAATACACCTATTCAGTTGACGAATGGCTATTGGCGACCTAAAGCAGCAACACCAGCAGCAGCAACACCAGCATCATCATCACCACCATACCAACTTCAACATCCACCTTTTTTTACACGTCGATGGGATACTTTTGTCAATGACCATATATCTGAAATCCCGCCACATTAAGTTTCTTATCACCCCATGCGATCTCTCTCCCTCCCTCTCTCTCTCTCTTAGTCTCATATCCATCCACTTTTTTTTGCAACCTTACATAGCTCCCTCATTCTCACGCATACCAATCCACGGATGAAACCGGCTTTGCATCACATGCATTTCATCCGATCATGAATAATACAAATCTCTCTTTCTCTCTCTTCACTTTTTCAACCCAATTGTGTTTCTCTGTCAAAAAAATGCAAAATAATATTTGTGTGGTGCGATAATGGTGCTGCATGTGTAAAAGTGTGAGTGAGTGAGTGAGTGAGTGTGAGTGTGAGTGTGAGTGGCTGTATATTACAAATGGGAAGGGTGGTCGGTATGTTGATGTGGTGGTGGTGTGGATGGTTTTAAGAATAAATAAAAGAATGAGATGGGGGAGAGAAGAAATGATGTGTGTGTGTGTGATCTATGCATCGCCATCACTTAGGTGAAAATTGTTGCGTTGACGTTGCCGTAATAGCCTCCTCAGGAGAGCTTCTTCTTCATCAATTTCATGTCGTGCAATGGATACAAGTGGCCGATCAGCAATAGCGAGTCTGTAAACACGGCCATAATCATGGACAGGACCTTCAAGGTCACGACGATGCCATCCCAGCTGGTACGCAGCCCTGATCATACGCAATGCGAATTCCTCACGTAATACCTTGCTTGCATGATTACGCTTATAATCATTGACAGCATCCTCAACCGCTTGTACCATATCCTCATCGGCAGTATATAAATAGGCATTGTAGGTCTCGGAACTGGTGACAGTGGGAATACGCGTTTGCTTGTCACGAATAATATGAATATCACGTTCAGGCTCAGCGGTGGACCATGTAGCGGCTGCAGGTCGATCATGCAAGTAGGCAGGGACACTATTGCTGTTCATGATCACGGGAGCACCAAACCATAATCCTTGGGCAGCTGGCATACCAACAGGATCTTCATTGACCACAAACGCAAAATCGGCAGCGGCACGTGCAAAGATATTCCATCGTCGAAATTCCTTCGGGGTTGCCATGGCAATCACATCGCCTTGTGCATTCAATTGATCACATCGTGCTAAATCTTGATCACTACCACTCTCAGGTGCAAGCACAATAAACTTGACATTGTTGGCGTGGAATGAACGTGCAGCATTCAAAAGAGAGGGCATCGTAGCATCATCAAGTGTACCCACATACACGGCTAAAGGTCGTTGCAAATCCTCCTCCAACAACAAGGAACGCTTGACAAGGAAACGTTTGGCGCGATCTTTAGATGTTGTCAAATAATCATTGGGCAATCCGGATAATGGCCATGCAATACGTTGCTGTACATTGGCTGGATACTGATCATTGTTGCGCATAATGAGATCGAGAGCATATTCTGGATATCCAAACTTGCGAGTGACAAGGCGCGAATCAGTGAATGGATTGAGTTGAGTAAGGTCAAGGCCATTGCTGATGCCATAGAATCGAGAATGTTGAGCCTTGCGCAAGACACTTTCCATGACAAGCTCCTTAAGTGGGAAATCAAGTCGGCCTTCTACCATATCGGATGCCATAGGTTCGCCAACAACCGTAACCATGGTAGCATGATCCATACCAAGGCTTGCCATAAAGACACGTGATCCACGCGTATAAGGTTGCATGTGCTGTTGATCTCTCAATTCGTCTTGGAATTTGTTGATGCTGGCAATGCTGTGAGTATAGCGTGATTCATCGAGATAGTTATGCATGGTGTATACAACGGCGGGAGGTTTACGGCCCAATTGGTTCAACATGCGTTTGTCATGCAAGTGCTTGGCGATATAGCCAGTGGATGCACCATGCAAATGAACAACATCGATATGGGGAGCCAATCCAAGAGGAGCGAATAAAGAAACTTCATCGACGGCTGTTGCTTGATGCGTCAAAAAGGCGGAGGCTGCTTTGGCAAAGAATTGCTCGTGCCATTCATGAGGCAAACCAGTTGCCTGTGCATTCCATTGATAGATCTGGGTGGGATTACGTGCACGAAAAGCTTGACTGAAAGGGCGTCGATTGCCAGGACCAATCAAATACACGGGGATCCGTTCATTGGGTGCGTATTCGGTGACATTGACACGAGGATTGAATACATAATCCATACGCCATACGCGAAATTCAATAGGTATCAAGCGCTTCTTTTTGTCGCGTACATCAATCGTCAAATCGGTCACCTTTTCAATGTCGTACTTGTTTTTCAGGAACGAGTAGTAAGGCATCACCACACGCACGTTGGCTTCGGTTCGTTGTTGCTGTGCAGCGGCAAGTGCTGTCACCGTGACACCCAATTGAGTCGATGTCGCAGGTCCAAATTCCTTGCTAACGTGGTACACAATGGCGCCTCGATCAATAGGCAAAGTGCTTGCATCAAGTTGCTTATATGGAATAGGTGGATATTGACGAAGAGCTATATACACAATGATGAGTCTTCTTCCAATAGAGCAAAAGAATCGTAATAAAAAAAGCTTTACCAATGCGTAGAGCAGGTTGTTGGCCATGTAACACCTTGGATCCAGTGATCAACGCCAGTGCCTGAAAGACACCAAATACAATCAAGAGGAGCGTCAAATAGTGCCACCACCGCCATTTTCGATCATGACGTGAAAACATGGAAGACGACCGAGGCATAAACGGGTTGCTGTTGTGTTGTTTGCTGTGAAATGTCGTGTTTAAACCAGCTGGATTCAGGTTCCTGCGGTGGAATGGCAGATCGTAGAACTTGGTCTCGACATTGTTAGGTGGTGGCGCCATGTCGAAAGAATGGGGAGTATATATTAAAGAGCGGAGAAGAAGGGAAGAAGAAGAGGAGGATAAGTAAGGGAAGAAGAAGAAGGAATGGGTTTGGATATAAAAGGAGTGAACAAAGAGAGTTGTTATGTGGAAAGAAAGAAAAAAAGAGAGAAGAAAGAAAAAACACACCAGCGGGTTTATTTTACCACAAATGGGTCTAAAAATACTTTGTTCAACAAAGATGATGCCAGTAAACGGGCGATAGTGTAATGCCGTGAGTATGAGGTTGGATGTTGTGTGTGTGTGTGTGTGTGTGTTCGTATGTAAACTGTATAGTACATGTGCGACAGTGGCGCATCACTCCCATAATGGTCCCTTGCCACGAGTCTCTTGCCCCTCTTATTTCTCAACAAACTCTAATCATCATTACACACACTCGCACACACACATCACGCAGATCTTAAGTCGCTGCTTGTTAACTTGCGGTGTAAAAAAACAGGGTCAGTGAAAAGGAGAGAGAAATGATGAGCTGATTTTGATTCATGTGAAAAGTTGACGAGAGAAACCTCAAACCTGATATCAAGTTCCCTGGTGTGGTATGGCGCACAATAATGAAACCCAAAAGCTTTTTGATGCTCATATTGAAAATTACCTAAACAGTGAAAGATCAAAAAGCTTGACCACATCTTACTTTCTGCAAGGCGATAAGCCCTTACCTCCCAATAACTACCTACCCCCTTTTGCACTTTACACATTTGGGAAATATCAATATCATTAGACGGGGCGTTCTTTTTATTTTTTTATATCCCTCCTTTTGAACTGTACAAATGCACGCTAAATACAACGGGGCAGGATAGAAAAGGGCTGGATTGGCTGGGTTCTTTCTAGTTCTAATGCATAGATAAAGCAATCCTTGGCACGTTCTAATCGATCGGTCTTGCGATACACTTGCCCAAGATACAACCTAACATGGATGGATGATGATGATGAATAAAAAAAATGACAACGACTTATCAATCCCGACATCCAAAACATCCACATCTCTAAATATATATAGACCCAACATATAAATAGTAGTATGTACATACCAAGCTTCGGTACAATTCCATCCGTTGCTTCTAGTAACGAATTCCAAGAGCCCTTCAGCAACTTCGAGGTCACCATGTTGAATGTAAGCCTTGGCCAGCCACACACGACATTCAACGTCATTTCCATCACATACTAGCCCTTTTTGGAACGCAGCGATCGCCGAGTCGATTTTGTTCTCAACGAGACGTAATCTGCCAAGCATGCACCATACACCTGCGTTGTTAGTCCAATCGACATTCTCCGCTTCTTCAATCGCCTTGAGTGTCTCGTTCACAAGACCCAACTCGAGAAAGCAGCTGGCTGACAAGAGCCACAGGTTACACAATATGCGTATGGATCGTCTTTGTCGCAGCCGGCAACGTGCTGTGGGTTGTGCGTCCATAGTAGCGGAGCCTACAGAGCCGTGCGGAATAATCGATGCTGTGCTACTCAATGAAGGAACCGCACTATGCAGCGATGACACCGATGCCTGCATTGGGTAGCTGCCACGTGCTATCATTTTCCCAAAAACCACGTTGTGTATGTGTCAATCAGCATTCAAACTCATGTACGCATAAACCATTTTACTCACTTGTTGAATCATTTGTTGTTGTTGTTGTTGTCGATCCATTCACTTTCTCGGGATGTTGTTTACGTAATTTGCTCTTGGATCGGAAAAGATGCAATGATGGATGAAGACGACCACGATGATGATGTGAAGAAGAAGAAGCGCCAAGCGGGGTAGGTGCTGTGCGAATGGTATCATCACTGCCATTGGAAGAGGATGTGCTACTGCCATTTGTATGCCATGTACTGCCACGTGTTACGCCATTGGTCGTTGTTTTACCATTGGTGATCACTGGTGCTGATTCTTGAGCTGCTATTCCCCCTGATACAGATTCGCTCAAATTCCCTAATGATCCTGATACCACCATGGGGTTCCTTGATCCAGCGCTGACATTGTTGCCATTGGACTGATATAAACCACCCGTGCCTTCATCCATCTCTTCTGGGATAGCGATTTGACCATACGTGCTGAATACACCCTTTTGTGACTCCAACGCATCTTGAGCTCCACGTGCCACATTCAAAAGCATGGATTGTGTCATTTGCAACAAGACACGTTGTTCCAATCGATCGAATCCAGGTCTCGACCCAAGATCTTGGGGCTGTTGATCATCACCACCATCTTGATCACTGTTATTGCTGCTTCCATCTTCAGGCAAATCATCCGATTGCTGTATCCGGTCTAGGCTCATTTGACATGTCCGTAACGCTTGCTCCAAACCACCTTGAGAAGGACACGAGCATGCTAGCACCAACAAATGCCATGATGGTATATGATCAGGATTCATCTGTAATGCCTTGGTGATCGTTTGGATAGCAAGATGGACATCACGCATGGTGCCTTGTTGCAATGCCAATTGATAATACGTTTGCCATGCATCAGGATCCATTGCTGTTGATTCTTGGAGGAACTTGAGTGCTTCACTGTGATACTGCGAACGAGTGGGAGGATCCGTTGCTAAAATGACAATGACAACAACAACAACAACATTGTTAGTAAACAAGAACTATGCAATGCAATGCATCATTTGTGTCACATTCCCTTTTTTCCACAATCCAATTTTGACAGCAATGATGTGTGTAGCCCCACTCCCAACAAGAAAAACTTACTTTGATTCGCTAATAACCCATACGCTGTACCAGTTGCCCTGTACACATTGGCCCCCAGGACTTTGTGCTCTTGCTGAAATCCTTCCGATTGGAGGTTGAATACGGCACTAGCAATCTCGCCTAACTCCACAGCTTCAGGACCATTCTCGAGATCTTGACACAGCATTTTGATTCCCGCCAATAGCACTCTCAATGTGTCTTGAGTCGATTCTTTCTCCACAGTGCGACGTGATGCAATGGATTTGGTTGGCTTGGCAGCGTTATGCATATCCGCAAGTTCACCACCCGCGCTCTCTTGCACCAATTGTCGAATATCCTCCTTTTTGATAGCAGGTACAGGTCGCGTGTTGCCTCGACTATCAATGGCCAAAGCTTCGCCGTGATCTCGTGATGCATTGCGAGCATGTGACACAAGCCCCACCATGTAAAGATACGCCTGCAACGCATGATGTGCTTGTTTGTAGTCGCCCGTCATATATTGAACATGGAAGAGGTGTCGTGTAATTCGAGGTGAATTGAATGCCTTTTGTGTTGCACGATTCAAGCCCTAAAAACAACCACATGTCAGATGGCTTAACCATCACCCCCAAGTTCATCATCACCACCTCAATTTACCTCTGTAAATCCTCGTAAATCATTCACAGACCATGTAGCTACTGATGGCGTTTCCACAATCTCCCATACTAAATCAGCATAGTCCAAAATGGGCTGATTCACTTGATTGGCACGAGGGAACTTTGCAACTGACAAGATCATCTTTTCATACAGGGCGTGGAGCTGGGTCACCTCAATCACAAACATTGCCTGCTTGGTGCCACTATCATCGTGATGAGTATGCGTATTATACACCCTTGAATGTTTCTCACCTTCTCTCTGATGGGCAATATTCTCCTTTCCGATACACATTACAGAGATATCTGAGCGATTGTTCCGCCATCTTGATTCGTTTGGATTGTCGCCATGCCAACGGCTGTGACGCAGTAACACGCTGATACGCTCGTAACATCTCGAGTGTTGATCCCACATCTGCTCCCCTATCACATCCACCATCGTCATCAGATACCATAAAAACATTTCCTATTATACCTCACTCTCCCTTTACTTACTCATATTTCCATGCTACCATAGCACCTCGGTATAAACCTTCCTCAGCCCATTCAACTAGAACGCGTTCCTTGGCAGTGAGAGCATCCTTGACAACCGTTGTGACCGAACGATAGGTATCAAAAGCGAGTGGCATATCCCCCATGTGTTCAAAGCCAACAGCTACAAGCCCAATGTCAATCCATCCATGTATGTATCCCCTCCTTTGTCTCATGTATATATATACCTTTCATAACCCTGGCTTGTAAAAGTAAGACTGCATTGTACCCAGCATTGACGTCTTGTCGTTCAAAGGACAAATGTGACACAATATCAACGGCCTTGGTAAAATCGCCGCATGCATAGTACGACCTTGCAAGTACAACCTTTGCAAACTATAATCGCAGTATTGGCACGTGGGATGCATATAACCATGGAGTATCTATACCTCTCTATCTGTGGCTGTGGCTGTATCCGTCATGTGGATAACCGATTGCAATTGGTGCCGGATCGATTTGACTTGGTCAGCATTCAACAATGACGACGACGACGACGATTGGGTATTTTGAACGAGTTGTGCTAGCGATGCTTCGGCTACAATGGTCTGTGCAAGAACTGCAGTGGCTGTCATGGTCAACAAGGACGGCTTCGGTGGATATATATGTACTATACCTTCTCCTTTGGGGTTGTGCTTTCGATAACGGCGTGCCAATTCGGGCATGAGTTTCCAGTTGCCTTTGCACCGTGCATCCTCAATGTCTTTGGCGATTTGTATTGCTTTGGATGTCGTCATGTAGGTGTATGACAAGTGTGGGGTATACAAAGAGTGAAAGAAAAGTGACAAGTGTGGTGCGGGAAAAGCAAGAGAAGAAGACCAAAAGGAAAAATAGGATATTGTATACAACAACCACGCACACTCACAACAACAAGACGAACAATGTGAGCCACGCCCAGGTATGTCTGGTCTAAAAAGGGATTAGAAAGGAACCCTTGTCTCATGTTTCCTCTTGCTCTTTTTTTACACCTCTCTCTCTCTCTTTTCGCTCTTTGTATTATGGGTGGTCCCAGCATTCGGCACCGATCATGGTTAAAGAGATTCTCCGTACAACGCAACGGGATTACGGCTGCCGAGACAACGACTTCAAAATAGAGACACTTACACACATACAAAAGTCGGTTGATAACACGGCTTTGCGTTCTCTTGAAGCACAATAAACTCCAACGTTCAATAACAATCCCCCCCCTTTTTTTAATTCAATGCTGAGGAGTAACAAAAATGATAATGATGGCCATACGACAACGTACGTAGGACAATGATCCTCATCTCACCCCCTAATTTAGGCAACGCATAACGCCCTTGGTGCGTTAAACACAAGGGACTTGTGCAACATTCAATGGGAAACGAGCCATTGATCAGCATTTTAATCCTCCTCCTCCTCTTAATATTCTCTCTCCTCATGTGCATAATACCACGACAACGTTGTGCTCATCGATACAACCCCGATCTATCATTTGTTGCCATGACGTTGCTATGGATCCAGCTAAAGTACTACTACTAGCGCGCATGCATGTATACCTATATCTATATATGTAACGAGGCTGTGTTGTTGGTTGTGATGTAGATGATAAATGATCAAGCCGCATTGTGTTGTAGTATGCATACATCAGTGGATCATGCTTCCAACCCATCACTGTCAGAGCGTTCTTGCATATACATGATACCTTTTTTTAGATCTACTGTTTATGCGTTACCCCACGTGCATGAATATACACTCTCTTTCTATCATGCCGGTAAATAATAGAGATACAAAGATGGATGATGATGATGATGCTGGTGATGCTAATGAGGTCCCTGCAGCTTCGATCTCAGTAACCAAGCAACACCATCATTTCAACCAGCCACTGCAACCCGCTTTCTCCTAAGCAACCGCTAACTTGATTATAGTTTTGGCGTTTTTTTGGTTCTTTTTCTCCAACATGATTACGTGGCGGGCGATGGGAGAAGAAAAGAAGGGTACAATAAAAGAGAGGAGGAGATCGATAATTGTAGCGCGAAGAACCATCTCCTACTCCCTCCTTCCTTTGACGTCAATGCTACTTGTTGAGGGCGACACAATGATGCGCACGTTCGCCTATCATATGATACCTGAGGTGTTGCTTCTTTGTTTTTCTTTGATTCATTATCAAATGCATGTCAATGAACCTGCTTGTGCGTTGGATTCCCATTTCTTTATTGGGGTTCTTCGCACACGATACGGTTCATCATCTTGGTAGATACCATCATCTGAGAACAACAAGAGTAAAAATATACATACTCACACAAGGAGCTTATGAATGCTCGTGTGTACGCTAATATGCATATCATGCAACGGCCCTGATGATCCAAACTTTAATGCCAACACGACATCTTCTTTTTCCTTCTAGTTGTACCCCCCTAATACTCACACACACAACCCCTTGTTGCAGTGGTGTTGGTTGTGGTGGCTTACATCACATCTTTTTTACCCAATTATGGGGATATCGTACACATGCGAATTACGCCTCATCTCTTCGCATAGCCCCTTTCGTTCTTCTTATGAGCAAAGCCACGATCCAATGCTGGTTATAGGGTGTGCTTCTGCAGCAGCAGCAGCAGCATCAGGGAGAGTGGCGATGGTGTTGGATTACGTGGACAAAAGAAGGAGGAAAGCATTTCATTCAGCAGTTTTGGTAGGCACTCTTGGCTACTTTCTTTTTGTTGGTGTGTCATTGTTGCCGCGGATTTTTGTTTGCCGATGATGATGACTCCTGTTTCCTCTCGCACGGTCATTAAAGATGCCATATGTAAATAAGATCACAAGTTTGGGTGTTAAAATCGACATGCAGATCCTTGTTTCGTAAATGAAAGATGATAGGGTGGCATATTACATACAGCTTGCATTGGATGATAAGAAAACTAACCACGGGTTCTAAACGATACAAGCAAGAAGGGGGAGAATGGAATGGGGGAAAAAAGGGGGGCGTGGACGTCGTGGATATGACTTTCGCGCGTATACAGCAGCAGTTTTTGAGATGATGATGATAGATGAAAGAGAAGAAAAAAGATGCCATGATTTTGATCCATCGTCTAAACGCCTGATCCTACAATGTTGATGAAGAAATACATAAAGAATGATGCTATATATGAAAAGCGTGCCGCAGCGATTAAGATGATTGAATGATGGTACCGCAAACGCACCGAGATAAAGGACGAATGGATTGGACATAGATAGATGCTTGATGTGTATGTGTGCTTTTGTTGCTTTTCAATAGTGGGCGTGGATATTGATGAATGATTGGGTTATTGGGTAAACATGTTGCGCATGATGCCTTGGATATCGTTTTCGAGTTGTTCAATTCTGACCTCTAATTGTCGTATCTGCAAGAGATTCTCATCCAGGGACAAGAGCATTTCATACTCAATTTCCTCTTCCATGAGCTGCTGTTCTTCGCCTCTGGTGGATGATGATGATGATTGTGATCTTCGAGGAGGACGTCCTCGAGGTCTACTACCGCGACCTCGTCGTGATGTACGGTTGTTGTTATTGTTTTGGATCGCTGATGGTGGTCTTCGAGGTGGGACATAAAAGGTATCAATTGCAATGGTTCCAGGTATTGGGAAAATGTATTCATCGCTTGGATCATCGTTATTAGTGTCGTTGTTGTGGGGCACCGCATCATATGAAGAACGCAATGATCGCGACGTGATACAAATGTGTATCCATTGGTCTCGTAAAAATCGTAGTTCAAACTCGTATCTTTGCAAGGTAGCTGACATTGCACGTCGCATATCCTGTGACCATGATCCCGTAGATAAATGATGATGCCGTCGAGTAGGATCCACTGAATGCCGATGATGGGTAACGAATGCAGCTGTTGATGATCGACTACTTGATGATGTAGGTGACAAAGGTGATGAGGCTAATGAAGGTCCTGTTGTAGTAGTAGATGGTACAATGGTGGGCAACATCATCATATTATCCGAGCTCGATCGCGGTCGTCTTAATGCTAACATGGCCACATTGGAAGAATGCGCCATTGATGATGATGATGAAGATGGAGCATTGTTTGCAATCATCATCATCACATCTTGCTCGTCATCATTATTGTGGCTGGCGTCAATATGCATATGCCAATCTTCTTCATCCATCCTTTGCGTAAGAATGATAATGCCAGTGGTTCTCGATTTGTATATGTCAGAGAAATCGTGCACACCAAGTCGAGGGGTTAGCTCTAACCGTCTCTTTCACGCGTTTGGGTCGTTTGAATGTTGAAAATGGAAAGTTGTGGTAAATAGTCAACAAGAAAGAGTTGTGCAAAAGGTAGAGAGAAAAGAAAGAGGGAGACGATGGCTTGCTCTTGGAACTATATTTTATAACAGCGCAAGAAAACGTACCGTTCTTGGACACTCCTCCTCCTGTTCCTTGCAACACCCACGCACTCACACCGCACTGTCGATCCCTCTTTTGGTTATGGGTCTCAATTATGGAGTCGAACTTTATGTTGACATGCTGTGCAAACGTTGGACAGCATAAGCACTTGTTTGTGTCTCGTCGCTATTGTTCTTTTGCTCAACTTCATACGTAAACATAAACCTCGCTATAAAAAAAAGGACATAGGATCCGAATTCTTTGCATGTGTGCGTGCTCTCAAGCTATTGTTATTGCTGGTGCTGAAGGTAGCTTACAATGTATGGCTTTGCGTCGACTTTTGTGAACGACCTTTCAACTTGCTACGTTAGCGATAGGGTACTAGCAACAGCAGGCTGTCAGATATGCTTTGTCGATTAAACAAACGACTCCTTAGAGCTGCCTGTTTATTAAGCGAGCTCGTGGTGATTGATTTACGTTTTGACGTCTCTCAGGGTCTTTTTGTGCAAGAGGTGCGGCGGGTGCGAGAATGGAAAGAGAGGCGAAAGAATAGATGAGAAGAAAAATCTAGTGATGTATTATGTGTGGCGACCCAAAAGAAAATTTTTTTGTTGCTTTTGCCCATGGTGTGTTGCTTTATCTTGATATGAGAAGGATGGAACACTATTAGTGTGTATTGTTTGAATGGGTCATTGTTACTCGAATTACTAAAGACGTGGGATATCCGCTATGCTCAAGCGTGGTGCATGTTTTTGTGCGTGTGACAGAATATTGAATCAAGGTCCCATCGCGAACCGCCTCCTTGGTCCTTTTTTCTCTCTTTCCCCTCTCTCTTTCTTTCTCAAGATGGGCATAAGCTAATGTGTGTGTAAGAGTGTGAGTGTGCTGATTATCATCTTAGATATTAAGTGATGCATCCTTAGAGATATGTATGGAAATAGAGCGGAGCCCGGCTACCTGGAACCATGTCGAATGAACGTGCAAGGACAATATAGGATGCGTGCGAGCTGCATCTGCCTGTTGCCTTTTTGGCCAATTGAGCGAAAGCAAATTGCAAACACCATATCCACAAACTCTTTTACCCCAAGAGCACTGTAGCCATATCCGCAACTGCATTACCACACACATGTAACACGTTTACTTGCGCTCTCCCAACAACCATGACAACCCTACTTTTTTCATCTCAGGGCATCAAACAAGATGCTGTGTAGTGTGTGTTAAGCTCTCATCCATCATCATCCCTTATAGTGAGCTTGCTCCTCTTCAACACCCTATTCCTGCTACCATACATGTAGCACTCAACTCCTCTTGAATTACGGGTACTTCAGGACACACATACACACATACACACACTCGAAAATGATAGGGGTATTAACCATGGGATCATTTGACACTCATCACCACCACCACCAAACATAGCTTATTTAGGTTAAGGATAATTGAATAGGATGGATGGATGAATGTATGGATGGCCAATGATTTGATCTGGATTCATCCCCCGTTATCTCATGTCAAGCCATAACCCAATTTCCCAATACATTAGTTGTTGGGGCAAGTCGCTGACGCCATACCGCCGCCGCTGCTGGTGCTGTATTTGTCACTGATGTGTCATTATTAAACGAGTGTAATGTACCATGTCGGAAGCATGCTGTGCTACGCAATAAAGCAACGATCGGCGGAACATCCTTGTGGAAACCATGCGCACATCATGCTTTTGAGTAAAACTCAACCCTCAATGAGAAATTAGCAACAAGCGCGCGATAAAAAAAAAGCTTATCACTTATAATGTTGAAGGTTGCAAAGATGCTGATCCTTGCTGTTGCCATGCCATGCATTGTTTTTTGGTCACAAAAGATTGGCTACATGATGTATTGCTTTGTTGGTATGTATACAAGAAATAAGAATGCCATATAAATGATGTGTTGTGTGGTGCATGAACGACGTTGAATATATTGACGAGGGTGTGTGTGTGTTGTATCACTTGCCCCGGTGCATGTGGATTGGGTCCAGAATGCTGGATAGCTCCTCTTTGTACCACATACAAGGTACACTTGAAAAGCATCTGTCAGGGACGTGGATTTACCGATCCTTAACTCAATCCACAACGTACATACATCATCATCCTCAACCCCCTCAACCCTGGTCGCTTACGTTGATTGCGCCATTGATTCCTTTTCTGTAAAGTCTAGGCTTAGTTGAATAACTTGGACTTGTTTCTACTACCCCCACCCCCAGTTGGTAGCATAATGTATACCACATTTTCGGATCTCCTGGATGACGATGCATAAACGTGGTTTCTGTTACTTCTTAGCCACGTTATTCTCTTTCTTTATCTCCTCATTCATTCTCCTTGTATGTATACCAGAAATGATACCTGAGGCGATATCATCATCTTCATCAACTCCTTAAACCACTGGTTGTGTTATACTACACATCAGCCACACGAGCCATTTATTGCATTCTTGGAAACGTAATTGGGCATGTTGGCATGGATACGGTTGGGTGGGGGATTTTACGTGGGCGTCGTACCCGTGATTTCTAGATAATGCCGCTCGCTTACTTTGAAGTGCCGTGAAGATGAAGATGAAAAGCAGCAGCAGCAACAACAACAAGGCATATCACCAAATTGGGTATTCGCTGATAATATACATCGCATGGATCGCATTATGGATTTTCCGGAATGGAACAAAGAGAAACAATGGCCAATGTTATGAATGGTTGCCTTCCTTCCTTCCTGATGGTGGGCGGTTGTTGATCGTGATTAGGTCACATGTCCCAACTTTCCCAGGTACTCTACATTTGACTCATTCATATCGGTGGACAGTATATCCGATGCATCTCGCCTTGTCAGCATCCATTTGCCACAACTCTACGCACAACGTAAGCATAAACGAGTACCTCTTCTTCCTCCTTTTCTTACCACTCTTGACATTAGCCCTCGCATGTTCCGTTCATTCCGCTCCGCATCTGCACTAGCCGCACGCGCCACCATGGTAAGACTTCATGTGGTTGAAGGGACGTTGTCATTGAAGAGGGGTGAGTGTGGTGCTCATGGCTCTCTCTTCTTGTACCTTTAGGTTGCGCGTGTCCCTGTCCAGCAGCAGCAAAAACGTTTCCTCAACATCCATGAATATCTCTCAGTGGATCTCTTGCGTAAATATGGTGTCAACGCGCCTCGTGGTCATGTTGCAAAGACTCCTGAAGAGGCTCTTGATATCGCAAAACGCCTTGGTATGTTCGAAGCAAGATGATGCGACATTGTCAGCTGATGATGGGATGTTGTTAGGGTCTGATGATTTGGTAATCAAGGCACAAGTACTCGCTGGTGGTCGTGGCAAGGGTACATTTGACAATGGCTTCAAAGGTGGCGTCAAGACCTTCTCCACGTAAGATAATGAAAGTGCATCTTGGTGGTGGTGGTGATCTTTTGTGCTGATGTAACGTTGTTGTAGGCCTGAGGAAGGCAAAGCATTGGCTGAGAAGATGCTGGGTCACAAGCTCATCACCAAGCAAACCGGTGCTGCTGGCAAGCCATGCAATGCCGTTTACATTTGTGAACGCAAATACGCACGCAACGAGTACTATTTCGCCATTCTGATGGATCGCAAGGCTGCTGGTCCAGTGATTGTCGCTTCTTCTGAAGGTGGTGTTGATATTGAAACAGTGGCCAAAGAGAACCCTGATGCCATCATCACGCTCAATGTGGATATCAAAAAAGGATTGACCCAAGACCAAGCCAAGGATCTGGCCACTCGTATGGGATTTAGTTCTGTGGCTATTGACAGTGCAGCTGAGACCTTTGTCAACTTGTACAAGCTGTTTATCGAGAAGGATGCCACACAAGTGGAAGTAAACCCACTTGTACAGAGTTCGGATAATCAAGGTAGCATTGTGTATCCCTGATTCGACAACGTAGATACTTATAACGTGTTTTAGTACTTTGTATGGATGCCAAGCTCAACTTTGACGACAATGCCGAGTTTAGACAACAAGATATCTTTGCCCTTCGAGATTTCACTCAAGAGGATTCGCGTGAAACGGCTGCTGCCAAGTATCATCTCAACTACATTGGCTTGGATGGACACATTGGTTGCTTAGGTGAGTATATGGGATATACAAGGTATCTTTATTTTGACACGTGATAATAGTCAATGGTGCTGGTCTTGCTATGGCAACGATGGATATCATTCAATTGCACGGTGGTAAACCTGCCAACTTTTTGGATGTCGGTGGAGCTGCTACCCCTGAAACGGTCAAGGCTGCATTCGAAATCATCACATCGGATCCCCAGGTGACATCTGCCTTTGTCAACATCTTTGGTGGTATCATGCGCTGTGACATTATCGCCCAAGGCATCATTGCTGCTGCTAAAGAACTCGACATGAAGATCCCACTGGTGGTGCGATTACAGGGTACTAAGGTTGAGGAGGCTAAAAAATTGGTATGTTGCAAAAGAGGAGAGAGGGCGTGATTTAAGGAAGCAAAGACGGGTTCATTGATGACACCATCTTTACAATGATAGATTGCCGATTCAGGTCTCAAGATTTACGCTAACGACGACCTTGATGCTGCTGCCAAAAAAGTGGTCAAGTTTTCTGATATTGTCAAGACTGCCAAGGAAGCCGATATCAATGTCACCTTCCAATAGCCAATTGTCTAATATAGTCTTGTCATACACATTGCAGAAATATGGCTTTTATAGTAAAAGGTGGATAGATTTATTGGATGAATGATTATGGGATCAAAACCTGATTTGGGGCTGCAAACTTGAGTTACCACGTGATCATGTGATCCACTCTCTAGTAGAAAGCAATGCCGCACACACCCAATTTCTCTTTTTTTCCTTTGGGGACATCCCCCCTTGGCGTCGGATCGTTTGTACATGCTGCTCGTCGCTACTGCACAGGGAACAAATGGTTCCCTTCCCAAAGTATCGGCGATACAAATACCGTGCTGATTCTCGACCAGCCACAGCAGGCACACCATACGTTCCTTTGGACCTTTCGCTTGCGTTCCAGATATCGGCAGAAGAACAACCAAAGAGGCGCGACCTTGAATCGCGGTGGTGGTGATAGTGCTTGTTGAATGGAGAAAGTGTAAGGTGTCAGTATACCCCGGGGTGGACGATTGACCCCTACGATCGCGTACCTTGGCGATCCATTGACACCAAAAATCACACGCGCGTGGAATTCCAAGATTCAAAGCTTCATCGGTGGAGAGAAGTGAAAACAAGAAAGACGCCTATCGGCTTTGCTTCTCTGGTGTGCGATAAATAAGGCGCATGGATACATCCTTTGTCAGCACACGACAAAAACAAAATATGGGCCGTGGCGGTCTCTACGTGATATGGATGTAAGTAGCTAGCTTGGTAGTTCATGTTGATAATGCTTGAGCTAACAATCATCTATAGTTGACTTAACTCCTGTGGATAGGACCTGTTGTCTGCTGATGACATGGCAACGCTGAATCCTGGTGGACTACGATTAAATCACCCATCATCGTCATATCTTTTTTTCCCTTTTGTTCTTTTCGCTGCTGTTGGGTGCTCGTTGCAAGTACCCAAGATGCCAACTTCTTTTTCGACACACACTACATCAAAAATCATCCAAGGGGAGCAGGGGTATATCATAGCGATATCGCTTGGCTCTCACATCAATAAATGGTCCACAAATTTTTATTTCTTTTCTGAAATCCTTTGATACGCATGTTCTACTGTGATGTCATTCATGCCAACCTCTTTTATTCCATGGATACGCTGATTGTGAGCTCACTAGAGACTAATTCCAACCACTCTTTCATGGACTTATAGCTCGTTGATTCTATTTGACACGAGTCGTCTAGTGCAACAATGTCCTCATCATACATAATAATTGAGTTTCCTTGCTTGCTTTGGTTTTATTACATCTATACATGTTGGCTCTCCTCTTCTACAACCAAGACGAGCGATACCTGTCCTTGATGAAAATGTGCAATCTCAGAGATCACATGAGTGTAACCTGAAAATCGATGTTTGCATTATCACTCTCATCATGTAACTACAAGCGTACCTTGATCAACAACCAAGAATCGGCATGCATACCTCAACTAGGGATTCATTTCAAAGGGCACATCATTCCACTGTATCAGCCGATAACCATCGCATGGATGCGATGTCAAAACAATGTTGCTTTGTTGTAGGATGGTGGCGGACCTTCACTCTCTCTTATTGATAGATACACAAATACCATAGCAACAAGGACACCTCTCATCCAAGTGCGTTAATTTTGTTTTCAAAGGCATAGAATCGAATAAAGAAAGCCATAGCATAGACAACATGATGTGTGGTGGTACCCAAGAGTTGATCTTTTTGTGCCATGATGAATCGGTAGCCTATACCAGTTTCGGAACGGAGCAAAACAAAGCGAATGAAAACGTCATCCTTTTTGAGCAACCATGAATTTGGGGGGAGGGGAACATGCTCGTATCGCAGTTTTTGTGAGAGGGAGGACAAAGAAGGCGTTCTCGGGAATAAAGGCAACAATGACAGTAAACATGAGCCCCAGGTCAACGATGGTGCGTATGTGTGTGTGAATGAAATCGAAACAATTATGGATGCCACAATCAATAACAACAACGGCCGGCTACACAAAAAAAGTCTTGAGATTAAAGGCACACCACCACACACGCACATGTATGCATTTGTCAACTATACAACAAGTATCGGATCTCCAGGTCCCTGCGGCACCCATTGTATACATATATATATATATACATGTGTGTGTGCGTTCTTCTTCTTTTTACTTGCACCATGCATAAGATCCGAAACAACAAAAAAAAATCAGATCATACACAGCTGCTACTGGATTTTTAAGTCGTCTCCCCCATAATTTAGAATTGACGTACATTTACACATGGGATGCAAAAAGCGTAAATTGATATGCGGGATAGTCACTGGTGTTGTTGTTGTTATTGTGTAGCAAGATGAAGATACACACCACAACATCATCACACACCCCATGATGCCTGTACAACATGGAATGGGATGAACACAAGGGCAGAAGCATGGAGAATGGTGATGTGCCCTGCGCCCCGAGAGAGAGAGACAAGATAATACGATACATGATCCGCACCAATGGTATGAGCAAGAAGGGTAAATGGGAAAAACTTGTTATCGTATTATTACTTGTATGCAACAAGTGAGGATGATGGTCTATGATAATGATGATGAACTCCCCTTTCTATACCCATTTTTAATGCATCATGTATGTAAGAGATGGCTTACCCCGAGAAGGATGATGATGATGATGCATGCATATGTGTGTGTGTGCGTGTGTCTCTCTTACACACCATGGTCGCCCTACTTCTGATAGATCAAGTTACACAAAGCATGGAAAAAAAGATCAGAACAAATGCAATTTCAAACACTTGAAACCTTTTCTCAGCTTGGGGGGAAGGGAGCACAGTTACACAAAATGAAACAAGCAAATGGGTTTGCCATCTTTTTATATAAGCAAGTGACTATTATAAACTACCAAATGGAAATAAAAGGGCGAAAATAAACAATGGGCGATGACAGCGGGAAATAAGGTGATTGGGGGAAAAGAGAAGAAAAGAGGAAGAGGGAGGGAGGTAGAGAAAGAAAGAGAAAAAGGACAGCTTGTGGCCGGCTGATGTTCCGAACCTGACGTTGCAGTATTTTTTATCGTCCGTGTATGTACAACAAGAGAGAGAGAGAGAGAGAGAGAGAGAGTAAGGGAAACAAAGAAAAAGAGATTAACGAAACTTTTTTTATAGCCAAGGTCGCCAGCTTTGTCGACGGGTATTGTCCTCTTCGATCACAACACGCCGCCTTTTAGCTGCTTGTTGCTGTTGTTCTTCATATTCTTGGTCACAGCGTTGCACATAATCAGCAGCCATGGCAAGAATTTCAAGCGGTGCCATGTCGGGTGACAAAGTTGGATATGGGGATGTAGGCGTAGAGACATTGGATGAGGACGAAGAGGATGTGCTGGAGTAGGAATCATAAGGATCGGCAGTAGAGGATGATACTGGAGGATGTTGATGATAACCATTGTTGGATGGTTGTAATGGTGGAGGTGGTGGTGGTGCAAGTTCATCCACAGCGGGTGGCCAACGACGTTGTGTATCATAATAAAAGTAATAACGATCACCATTACTACCAGGATTGGTGGTGGTGGTGGTTGGTTGGTGATGTTGCTGTATCATCATTTCTTCATGCCATCGTTGTTGTTGCTGTTGTTGCTTTTGAATCAAGAGCTGTTGGTTACGTTGTTGTTCTTGTTGTCGAACACGATTATATTTTGCACGACGATTTTGGAACCACACCTAAAGGGGGGGAGAGGGAAAGGAGGGGTTAGATTAGAGTTGGGTTCCATGCAGGCAAAAAGCGGGTGGATCATATGATGCCCCATATGGCAAGCCGAAAAATTTTCAAACATTCATTTACCTGAACTTCTCGGTTTGTCATGTTGAGCTCGGCTGCCAACTTTTCTCGCAATTCATAATTGGGTGTGTCGGTCTGCTCAAAGAGTTCAGACAATCGTTGGAATTGTTCTTGTGAGATTCGCTTTCGCTTGGGTTTACTGGGAGCTTTTTGGAGGATGATGCAAAAACAAAATATGAGCGCAATTAGAATTTAGTGCATTATGAAGCATTTAAACAACCCATCTACCCCCACTCGCAGCATCTTTGGGGGGACCAAAGGAGGCAAGAGGAAAAGATATATTTACCTTCATGAGACTTGATACGTAAGTTTTGACGCTTGTTCGATTGGTCATCATCCTTCGAATCTTCAGCATTAAGCAAAGTATCAATCTTGTTATTGGAGGATGCATTGTCTTGAGATGTGGGTGATAGTGGTGACGATGATTTTTTTGTTGAGAGTGGGACTGCCTGATGATGTTGATGATGATGATGATGTGGCATATCGGAAGAAGTGCTTATCACCGGGGGAGGAACAACAGCAGGAGCAGCAGCAGCAGTGGCCATCATGATGATTTGATTCGTATACAAAGATCAAGTATTGGTAGTGGTTGGTAGTCTTTTAATGTACTTTTTTGAAAAGAGAAAGAGAAAGAGAGAGAGTGAAAGAGAAACAAAGCAAGAAAAAGGGGGAGGGAAAAAGAGAAAGAATGAGAGAGGTTAATAACTATCCGCCCCGGCTTTGATGCTCGGGCTACATTCCGACAGTTGACCTAGAGACGATTTGCATATAAGGAAAGACTCACTATTTTCCACAACAGGAATGGTCGCCCGCCAAAACGTTGCAGAATCCAATATGAAACGTCCTTCTCTAGTTCTATTATCCACTCACTTTTTCTCTCTCTTTGACTTGCTCTTGTTGTTCGCACACACACACGCACTACAGCAATCAATTCTATTTAACTCCTCTTACTCTCTCTTTCCTCTCTCTCTCTCTCACATTCCCTTTCTCTCTCTCACGCGATACACCACACGCGGCCTCTTACTCTCCCTTCTATTCTTCCTTTGTACTTTAATCGTCTACATTCCTGATCTCGTCAGCTTGTAAACGCCATTGGAGTACATTGCTTGTATATACAACACTCGACTTGTTCTGAATCTTGACTCTGCATGGTGGCATGAAGCGTTCTTCTTTCACTCGCGACAACAATAACGATTCCAACAAGAAACATTGTACTCGATCGCCTTGCCCTTCTTCAACTTTGCACAGCAACGACAATACCACTATGAGTGTACAAGTACTATCTATTATTCAAGATACCATCCATCATTTGGACAAAGGTCGCATCGATCAATGTCTCAGTAATAGACTCTCTGCCGAAGCCTTGGATGAATTGGATCCCAAAAGTGCAGAGATAGCAACGTCCCTGGAGGCTGCCCTGAAGAATATCGCACAACGACAATTACAACTAGAGACTGAGAACTTGCGTTATCGGATAGCGATTCAGCAACAACATCAGCTGTTGCTAGGTCAACAACAATTGCAACAGGGTGGCAATATGCCGCTACCATCGACATCCTCGTCATCAGCACCCTCATCTTCATCAGCAACAGGCAAGAACATCAATCCATCTTCATCTTCAACCACAACCACCACATCCTCGTCTAGAGAAGAAGACGATGTCCCATTGCCAACTTCATCCTCGACACAAGGTGCTGCTGCCAATAGTCGTACTTTGGAACGACATCGCCCTGATGACCTACACATGACTTCTGAAGAAGGAATTCCCACTATCCGCGAGACTTCATTGATCGAACGAATGCAAACTCCCGCTGAGCCCATTGTATCCTTGCCAACCAATCATCGTATTAGTAAGTGTGTGTATGCTTTATGGTTAAGGGAAAGGAAGGATCACTTATATATGTATTATAATAGCTACCGACAGATATCAGATCCCTGCACCTATGCCCACACCACCTTTTACTGTTCCACCTGGTTCGACTGCTTTTCCCGTATTCTTTGGCAACGACAGCACCACCGCCGCCGCTGCTACTGCTACTGCTACTGCTACTGCTACTTCATTGATGCCTGCTTCTTCTTCTTCCAACAACAACAACACTGATGCCGCCGATAACATTGTATGCTCGGATTGCGTTATGCAAGCCGTCAAGGTCGCCTCTGCTATTTATGCTGGTGAATTGCACCAACGTGTGACATGTAACCATGAAGGATGCATTTCATCATCATCTGCTGCTGCTCTCTCTCAAAACGCTCCTATCAACACCCTCAAGAATGCTGTCAATGCCATGGCCAATCATTTACAAAGAGTGACGGATGAAGTGATGTATGTGGCTCATGAAACGGCTGTCAAGGGCAAACTCGGTGTGCAAGCACGATGCGATTCACAAATGCGTGGTGTATGGCGTGAAGTGGTTGTTGATATGAACAACATGACCCGTAACCATCTTGAACAAGTACGTGATATTGCGGATGTTTCTACGGCTATTGCACGTGGTGATCTCAGCAAGACCATGACGGCTCCCGTTAAGGGTGAGACACTTGTCCTCAAGAACACATTCAATACGATGGGTAAAGTTGTTGTTGTGACAAAAAAGGCGTGTGGAGGGTGACACACTAATAATAATATTGTAATAGTGAATCAGCTGAACACTTTTGCATCCGAAGTATCACGCGTGGCCCATGAAGTTGGCACAGAAGGCAAATTGGGTGTCCAAGCCAAAGTTGCTGGTGCAGATGGCATTTGGAAAGAGCTTACGGATAACGTCAATACCATGGCCGACAATCTTACCAACCAAGTTCGTGACATTGCTCAAGTCTCCAAATCGGTGGCTCGAGGTGACCTTACCAAAAAGGTGACAGTGGAAGTTCGTGGTGAAATGCTTGACCTCAAAAACACAATCAATACGATGGTGGATCAGGTACCTATTTCGTTCGTGTTTCGGATGAGTGACGTGTGGGTGTGCGTGGGCGTTTATATATGCACATCATATGATTTGTTTGATCTGACATTAAGTTTTTGTTTATTTGTTGGGGGTACACAAATATAGCTTTCGACATTTGCACTTGAAGTGACCCGCGTATCGCTCGAAGTTGGCACTAAGGGTATTCTCGGTGGCCAAGCTGTTGTCAAGGATGTGGATGGGACATGGAAAGACCTTACCGACAATGTCAATTTGATGGCATGCAAGATTACCGACCAAGTCAGAGATATTGCTGTTGTGGCAAAAGCAGTAGCCAAAGGTGATCTCAGCAAAAAGGTGGTTGCCAATGCACAAGGCGAAGTTCTAGAACTCAAAAACACAATGAATCGTATGGTAAGTTGTCGTATATACACATGCATTCACACCAACATGAGCTAATGAATGATCATCATCATCATCCTAGGTTGATCAATTGACATTATTCTCTGCCGAAGTACGTCGTGTATCACTTGAAGTCGGCGTTGAAGGCAAACTTGGTGGTCAGGCTGTAGTCAAGGATGTGGGAGGTGCTTGGAAGGATCTTACCGACAATGTGAATACCATGGCAGCGAATCTTACCACCCAAGTACGATCGATTGCTGAAGTCACCAAAGCAGTAGCCAAAGGCGATTTATCAAAAAAGATTGACGTGGAAACGCGAGGCGAGATTTTGGATTTGAAGAATACGGTCAACAACATGGTGGATCAGCTCAGGGTATTTTCGACTGAGGTGACACGTGTTGCCAAAGAAGTTGGTACAGAAGGCAAGCTTGGTGGTCAAGCATTTGTACCCAATGTGGATGGCACGTGGAAGGACCTGACAGATAATGTGAATACCATGGCAACCAATCTCACCACCCAAGTACGATCCATTGCCGTTGTCACAAAAGCCGTTGCCAATGGTGATCTCAGCAAAAAGATTCATGTGAATGTGAGCGGTGAAATATCGGATCTCAAGGACACTGTCAACAATATGGTGGATCAATTACGTGTATTTGCATCCGAAGTGACACGTGTGGCAAGAGAAGTGGGTACAGAAGGCAAGCTTGGTGGTGAAGCCAATGTCCCTAGTGTGAGTGGCACGTGGAAGGATCTCACCGACAATGTCAATACCATGGCAGCGAATTTGACAACGCAAGTGCGATCGATTGCTCAAGTAACAAAAGCTGTGGCTAAGGGTGATCTTAGCAAAAAGATTGATGTCGAGACACAAGGCGAGATTTTGGATTTGAAGAACACGGTCAACAACATGGTGGATCAGCTCAATATATTTGCAGCCGAGGTCACTCGTGTGGCCAAAGAGGTGGGCACAGACGGCAAACTTGGTGGTCAGGCGTCTGTGCCAAATGTGGATGGCACGTGGATGGATCTCACGGATAATGTCAACCAAATGGCCGCCAATCTCACGGCTCAAGTGCGCTCTATTGCTGAAGTCACCAAATCAGTCGCTCATGGTGATCTTTCCAAAAAGATTGAAGTTGAAAGCGGTGGTGAAATTCTCGAGCTCAAGAATATTGTCAACAATATGGTGGATCAATTACGTGTCTTTGCATCTGAAGTCACTCGTGTGGCTCGTGAAGTGGGCACGGATGGCAATCTTGGTGGACAAGCTGTGGTACAAGGTGTTGCTGGTACCTGGAAAGATTTAACCGACAATGTGAATATCATGGCTGCCAATTTGACAAGTCAAGTACGATCGATAGCAGAGGTCACCAAGGCTGTGGCATTGGGTGATTTATCTAAAAAGATCGAAGTTGAGAGCGGTGGTGAAATCCTTGAGCTCAAGAATATTGTCAACAACATGGTGGATCAATTACGTATATTTGCCTCTGAAGTCACGCGTGTTTCCAAGGAAGTGGGCACTGAAGGCAAATTGGGAGGACAAGCTCTTGTGCGAGGCGTGGCTGGTACTTGGCATGAATTGACGGATAATGTCAATACCATGGCTGCCAATCTTACTACTCAAGTACGATCGATTGCTCAAGTGACCAAGGCTGTAGCCAATGGTGATCTATCAAAGAAAATCGAGGTCGAGACACGTGGCGAAATCCTTGATTTGAAGAATACCGTCAACAACATGGTGGATCAATTGAACGTATTTGCTGCTGAAGTGACTCGTGTGGCAAAGGAAGTGGGCACGGATGGCAAATTGGGTGGTCAAGCTTCTGTACCTAATGTCGATGGCACGTGGATGGATCTTACCGATAACGTCAATCAAATGGCAGCCAATTTGACAGACCAAGTACGATCCATTGCTGAAGTAACCAAGGCCGTTGCATTGGGAGATCTTTCCAAAAAGATTGAAGTTGAAAGTGGCGGTGAAATCCTTGAGCTCAAGAATATTGTCAACAACATGGTGGATCAGCTTCGTGTCTTTTCAACAGAGGTCACTCGTGTATCACGTGAAGTGGGTACCGAAGGCAAGCTTGGTGGACAAGCCGTCGTTAATGGGGTAGCTGGCACATGGATGGATCTTACGGATAACGTCAACACGATGGCTGCCAATCTTACTACCCAAGTACGCTCCATTGCTCAAGTCACTAAAGCTGTTGCCAATGGTGATCTATCAAAGAAAATTGACGTGGAAACGCGTGGTGAAATCCTTGATCTCAAGAATACGGTCAATGACATGGTGGATCAGCTTCGAGTGTTCTCAACAGAAGTGACCCGTGTTGCCAAAGAAGTTGGTACAGAAGGCAAGCTTGGTGGTCAAGCATTTGTACCCAATGTGGATGGCACGTGGAAAGATCTCACAGACAACGTGAATACCATGGCAACCAATCTCACCACTCAAGTCCGATCCATTGCTCAAGTGACAAAAGCCGTCGCTCTCGGCGATTTATCCAAAAAGATTGAAATTGAAACACGTGGCGAGATTCTCGAGCTCAAAGATATCGTCAATGAAATGGTGGATCAACTACGTATTTTTGCATCAGAGGTCACGCGTGTATCAAAAGAAGTCGGCACCGAAGGCAAATTGGGTGGCCAAGCTGTTGTTCAAGGTGTTGCTGGTACCTGGAAAAACTTGACGGATAATGTCAATATCATGGCAGCCAATTTGACAAGTCAAGTACGATCCATTGCCGAGGTGACCAAAGCTGTGGCATTGGGTGACTTATCCAAGAAGATTGAAGTTGAGAGTGGTGGTGAGATTCTCGAGCTCAAGGATATTGTCAATGAAATGGTGGATCAGCTTCGTATATTTGCATCAGAGGTTACACGTGTATCAAAAGAAGTCGGCACTGAAGGCAAATTGGGTGGCCAAGCTGTTGTACAAGGTGTTGCTGGTACCTGGAAAAACTTGACGGACAATGTGAATATCATGGCAGCCAATTTGACGAGTCAAGTACGATCCATTGCCGAGGTGACCATAGCTGTGGCATTGGGTGACTTATCCAAGAAGATCGAAGTTGAGAGCGGTGGTGAAATTCTCGAGCTCAAGAACATCGTCAACAACATGGTGGATCAACTTCGTGTCTTTTCTACCGAGGTTACAAGAGTGGCACGTGAAGTGGGTACAGAAGGCAAATTGGGTGGACAAGCTCTGGTTCAAGGTGTTGCTGGCACATGGAAAGATTTGACTGATAATGTCAACATGATGGCTGGTAATCTCACTACGCAAGTGCGTTCCATTGCTACTGTTACCACGGCTGTTGCAAAGGGTGATTTATCACGCAAGATTGTGGTTGAAGTACAAGGTGAAATTCTTGAGCTAAAGTAAGTATGGACCCTATTTCCATGGTGATGAAACATGATACTCATATATATATATGCAACCATTTTTAAGGGATACGGTGAATTCCATGGTGGATCAGCTACGTGTATTTGCTGCCGAGGTAACCCGTGTGGCGCGAGAAGTGGGTACCGAAGGCAAATTGGGTGGCCAAGCAGCTATTCGTGGCGTTGATGGAACCTGGAAAGACTTGACAGACAATGTCAATTCGATGGCAAGCAATCTCACAGACCAATTACGTGCTATTGCAGCAGTATGTAAAGCTGTGGCACAAGGTGATTTATCCAAGAAGATTGAAGTCGAGGTGCATGGTGAAATTGCCGAGCTCAAGAACACCATCAATACCATGGTTGATCAACTCAACTCGTTTGCCTCTGAAGTGACAAGGGTTGCTCGTGAAGTGGGTACTGAAGGCAAATTGGGTGTACAAGCCGAAGTCGAAGATGTGGAAGGTGTTTGGCGTGAGATCACAAGCAATGTCAATACCATGGCAAGCAACCTTACGACCCAAGTACGTGCATTTGCACAAATTTCAGCTTCTGCCACGGCGAATGACTTTTCACGTATGATCACCGTTGAAGCTTCTGGTGAAATGGATTCGCTAAAGACCAAGATCAATCAAATGGTGGCCTCGCTGCGTGATGCTATTGATAAAAATCGACTTGCGAAAGAAGCTGCTGAATTGGCCAATCGATCCAAGAGCGAGTTCCTTGCCAACATGAGTCACGAGATCCGAACACCCATGAACGGCATTATTGGCATGACATCGTTGACTTTGGAGACCGAGCTTACACGTCAACAGCGTGAAAACTTGATGATTGTATCCAGCCTGGCCAATAGCCTGTTGACGATCATTGATGACATTTTGGATATTTCCAAGATCGAAGCGGGTCGCATGACCATCGAGAAGATTCCATTTTCGTTACGATCCAACATGTTCAGTGTGCTCAAGACCTTAGCTGTCAAGGCGAATCAAAAGAAGCTCGATTTGATATACAATGTGGATAACTCGATTCCTGATCAATTGGTGGGTGATCCTTTCCGTTTACGACAAGTGATCACCAATTTGATCGGCAATGCTGTCAAATTTACCAACCATGGAGAAGTTGTACTACGATCACGTTCCGTTGGCATGAATGGTGATGATGTCATGGTCGAATTTTGTGTAAGCGATACTGGCATTGGTATTCCTTCAGACAAGTTGGATGCTATCTTTGATACATTTGCACAAGCGGATGGTGGCATCACGTAAGTGTATCTTTACATGTAACCATAATGATAAGTTTATTAATGATGATTTCTTTCTACATAGACGACAATATGGTGGCACTGGTCTTGGCTTATCTATTTCCAAGCACTTTGTACAGCTCATGGGTGGCAAGTTATGGGTCGAGAGCATGTATGGTCGTGGATCCGAGTTTTACTTTACGGTGAATTTGCAAAGATACCATGTCAAGACCGATGAGATTCAAGAAAAGCTTGCTCGTTTCAGAGGACGACGTGTATTATATCTCGAGTCGCCTGGCAACGAATCAACCTTGGTTTCTCAAGTAGCCGAGCTTGGACTACAACCTGTAAAAGTAAGCAGCATGGAAGAAGCGACCGAGACAGCCAACAATCGAAGTGCAGCAGCGAGCAAAAAGAACACCCATGTACCACCTTTCGATGTGCTTGTAGTGGACAACATGACACACGCTGAACGCATTCGAGAGATTGTACACTTGCGATTCACGCCTATTGTATTGATCACCCCAGAGATCCATCCACTCAATATGAAACTATGCATCGATTTGGGCATTACTAGCTGTGTCAACACACCCATCACCAACCCTGATTTGGCACATGCGTTGTTACCTGCTCTCGAAAACCATGTGGCCGTTCCAAGCGATGCATCCAAATCAGCAGCACTTGAAATCTTACTTGCTGAAGACAACCCCGTCAACCAAAAGCTTGCAGTACGCATTCTCGAAAAGTTTGGACACCATGTCCACATTGTTGCAAACGGTCAATTGGCTGTCGAGGCATTCCAGAACAAGAGGCTTGATCTCATTCTCATGGACGTCCAAATGCCTGTTATGGGCGGCTTTGAAGCAACTCAACAAATTCGACGACTTGAGAAATCATCCGGCACCAATGCCCATATACCCATCATTGCACTTACTGCACACGCCATGATCGGCGACCGTGAAAAATGCTTGAATGCAGGCATGGTATGTATTCTTTTCATTATGGATCGATGATGATGATGATGATGCTCATTGCTTATATTTAGGATGAATACGTAACCAAGCCGCTCCGTTTCCCTGAACTCATTGCTGCTATCAAAAAGTTCGCCCCACAATGATCTCATTATACGTTTCTCCATTGACATGTATACCATAGTCTGTCAATTGTATATATAGTGAATACTCAAAACACATAAAAACTTGTTTGTTAGAATTGGAGTTGCTACATGATTAAGGATAATGACACGTACATGGAAGTTGCATGCATTATTATATGAATGTCCATTTTTTACTTTACATGGCGGCTTCACTGAAGGGAATGTGATAGCTTGAACTTATGATAGTGCATAGTGATGTATTTTGATGGACACATAGGGATTAATAGCGTGGAGGGAGCATTATAACAATCAGCAAGGATATGGAGCCACTTGGGTTCATGCAAATGAGATACGTGACCACGTGATCGCCAAAGAAAGTGGTTCGAGCCGCACATTCGCGTTTCGGACAGTTCGACCCGCAGCTCCGAGCCATCACATGATCGCCCGATCCAGACACAGAGCGGTTCGGCTCGGAGCACCTTCCTTTTCGGGGAGGTGAGAGGCTTATATAGTACCTGTGTGTATAAAAAATAAGAAGAAGAAAAACATCCTCTATGGTCCAGTGGTCAGGATCCCTGTCTTTCACACAGGTGGCCCGGGTTCGATTCCCGGTGGGGGAAATTTTTGCATTTTTTGAGTCAATTTGCTATCACAACGTACTTTTTGCATTAAATACCTTCGAAAGAGCTCCTTGCGACGAATCTTTTGATACCAATCTTGTGGGGAAGCAACAACAGCTTGACGATCGACAGCGGCTCCATTGCAACGTTCGGCATTTCTTGCACGACCTGTACATCTCCAGACGCTCATCTCTCTTCTTGTGTCAAAGGAAAGGTGTACTTGTTCAGTTGCATAAGAATCAGCTTCTCCGCCTCTCTCACCTGATCTCTTTTCGACGCCATTAACACGCCTTTTGTCAACTTGACAATTCGCCATTACGAGCAGCATTCCACAGCGTTCTATACACATATATATACTCACACACCCCACCCTCGTGCAACGCCTCCTCGTGCAACATGACACCACCCAATCTCGGAATCATCATCCGAGCTCAAATTGATACGGCTATCTTTTCATGCAGGCTATGTGATCCAGCTGAAGACGAGATAAAGTTTTATTATACAAGTCGAGCACTTTCTCAACACAGCACTAAGGCACACAAACAGCCGACCACTGTCATCTTTGAATGCCATATTTGCGATGACACCTTTAAATCTCGTCCTCAGTTGCTATCACACAAGTGCATCAAGGAATTCGTAGCTGATGACCATGCTCGAGTACCGCCCCTTGTAGATGCTGCACCAAGTGGAACACAAATTGTTGACTTTTCCATCATTTCTACGACCAAGTCTTTTGTTTGTCCACGGTGTGTTACGGCACGCTTCAATGACCTAACGCATCTACAAGATCACCACGTCAAGCAGCATCTGCAACACTTACGCCCTATTTGGTGTTGTCCAAGGCAATGTGGTTATAGAGACATCGAAAAGCGTACAATAACAGAGCATCTAAAGTACGCATGCAATGCTGATGAGGAACCAGAAAATGAGTTTGCACAAGAGTTCTGCTTTGGCTGTGATCGGCTCCTACCTTCCAACGACATGGCTGCACATCAACGCACACACCCTGGCCTTGTGGATGCACTAGCAACGAATTCTTGGAAGTTGCCATTTGCTGGTCGTGAGCTTGATGTTTTGAAGGATATCGTTGGTGTTGTTGGATGGGATGTTAATGATGTGAAGCAACAATTACGACAGCGTCATGTTTGGAAGCATAACAACATCATTCATACTGCAGTCTCCAACTTACGCACTCGTCAGACTCAAACTGCCACCACACATCCTGTCAACATTGCATCACCTACATCATCACCAGACACCACGCCATATGCAACACCACGCTTAGCACCATTTCGGGATTTGCAGCAACCTCCATCACCATCACAGCACATCATTGGCATTAAACGTACTATGGCGGATAGATCACCACAACCTGATCATCATGGGAGATCTCGTCGCAATTTTAATGCCAACAGTAGCAGCAGCTCATCAACATCTCAATCCACTCGGCCATCAACCAACACTCGCTCACAACAAAGACGCCATAGAATATCTCGAGATGATGAAGATAGCCACATTACACCACCACCAATTATCTCGGCTGATACAGCTTCACAATCTCTCGACTTTTTGCGTTCTTTGGATTTGCATCCATCATCAGGTCGAATTTCACCATTAACGCTTGACAATGATAATCATGATGCATCACCTGATGAGCCTGGGGATAATGACAATGGTAATGATGAGCATGTGCAAGTAGCAACAAATGATGGGGAGGATACTGGAGCGCCAGCATTGGATATCAGCAACGACAGCACCACAGCAGCAGCAACAACAACGGCACACAGCAGCAACGACGATCGACAATTACAGCATTCGACTATAGCAGCACATCCAGCACGTGATCATGACAACGACAACAATAGTGTGGATTCATGGCTTCTTTCAGATCGCCCTGTGACATCATTGGCAAATGAACGAGCTGCAGCAATCAATGAGCAGGTTAATAGGGAATGGGATCAACTTTTTGAGGATCCTCTTTCACCAGAGCAACCAGTCAACGATGGTGCATCACTATCTCTCTCATCACCACCACGTCGACAACGCTCAACCTCGTTTGATGCCACATTTGAACAAGCGATCTCGGATTACAACATCCAACATTCATCATCACCCACACGCTCACATCGCCGCACACGCTCTGTTTCACCTTCTCGCAACTCGCCATCACCATCCTTGGATGTCACACACACACAATCACCACCACCAATTGATGCGAGTAATACGGCAATGGAAGTTGATGAGCCAATTGTGCCATGGCGACCAACACAACAACCTCGTGAATACACGCCTATTACAACATTGATGCATTCACGACAATCACGACGCTATCTACGTGTGCCACTATTTAACAACAAGCACCAGCGACTATGTTTTGAAGCAGCTATCAATGAGCTTGTGGAACGGCATCTTGTTGTTGAGGGTGATGACCACACTATTGTGACACAAAAGAACAACGACTTTCACGACGCACTGTACACGTTGATTGCCGAGTTCACTAGGCCACGACCACGTGTTGACAATCAAGGTCGAATTGAATGGAATGGATTGCAGCATATGGATGATGAAGCTGAAATCACCGATCGATTAAACAACAGCAGCAATCTTTCAGCCCATGATCGTAGACGTCTACTTCGCCGTCGCACCGCTATTAGAGAAGGAAGAGATGCCACATCCCTGTTTCATCGCTATCGCCATCGTTCAAAGTTGACGTTTGACTCTCTCGTCAACCCAAGTGAACGAACAACATGCACCATCCCTGCCAACCGATTGTACACGCACTTTGATAATAGCTATGGTGCTAGATCAGTTACATCGGATGCAATACCCACACCACGCCCTGATTTCCATCCAACTTGCTCACTTGGGGATTTCACAGACGATGATGTGGATGAAGTCATCAAAAGGTTCAACAAATCATCATCACCTGGCTTCGATGGTATTCCATATAAGATCTGGTGCATGTTTGGTGGGCTGCGTCGTTGGCTTAAAGCCATTTATCAACGTTGTTACTCGTTGGCATGGATACCGGAACATTGGCGTATGTCACGCACCATTCTTATTTTCAAAAAAGGTGACATGCAGGATCCTGGCAATTGGCGTCCGATCGCGTTACAGAATTCGACCAGCAAACTATATTCAGCTGTTCTCGACAGGATGTTACGTCGCACATTAACAAATCGCATCCCTCACAACCAAAAAGGATTCATGCCAACGCCTGGATGCATTGAACACGACTTTTACATCCATGCAGCAATACGCAAAAGTCGACGTAGAAACCTGCCACTATACATTTGCTCGTACGACCTTCGTGATGCTTTTGGAAGTGTCACTCATGATCGGATTCGCCATGCGCTGGTATATGCTGGATTGGATGATTCATCAATACAACGTGTGATGAGCATGTACAACAATGTGAGCTGCTTTGTGGGCACTGATGCTGGATCCACTGATATCATTCAACTACATCGTGGCACCAAACAAGGCGACCCAGCATCACCATTCATCTTCACTCTATGCATGCTGGAACTGAGTCATCGCCTCAACAACGCTCAGCCTACAACACAGCAAGCTTACCACAATCATTTGCTACTTGCCGATGACCTCACCATCTTATCACACGATCCAGAACATTTTCGACGTCTTCATCGCATAGTCACTGGATTTATGGATACACATGACTTGAAGATCAATGCAAACAAGACATGTTTTTCGGCAACCATCGCGCACAGTAATCAACAAAGGCGCACGGATGAGCGTATTGAGCTACGTTACCATGGCACGCGGATACCACGCATTGATTTGAAGGATTCATGGAAATATCTTGGCAACAGTGTGGGTCAACAAAGGAATGCGATTTGGGCTGACTTTCATCGTTTACATGCACACATCAAAAGACAGCTCAACATCATCGCCAATTCCGGTTTACGTATCTTTCAAAAGCATCATGCTATCAAGACTTTCATCCTGCCGCAGCTCGAATATTATATACGTTTGAATGGCCTTGGACCATGGCAAGCAAACCGATTGGGGCGCACCATACGTACATCCATCCGCAAATACCTTCAGCTACCATCATCGACCAGCTTAGCTGTGTATCATTTACCTATTGACAATGGTGGTCTTGGGTTCTATGAACCTCTTGATTGGGCTAGCAGCACACAAGTTGTCCATATTCTTGGTTTGCTCAATTCATCAGATCCTGCTGTTCAATTTATGATCCGTGAAGAAATTGGTACACTTTTGCAACAACGCTATCATCGTCCAGAAGATGGCTCGACATTGGATTTTCCGCCTACCGCTGAAGGATGCACCGATCAACACATTTTGCAATATCTTCATGGTAAATACGAGCATCTTAAAAAGAAGCGGTACAAGGACACAGCGGATCCATCAGCAAACATGCCACGTTGCCTACAACATGTTGGATGTGAAGTCATTCTTGAGGAGGATTTGGATGGTGCCACGACATTCAGCTTGCGAAGAGATGATAATGCAAATAATGGGTCCAACACTCGGCGTCGTATCACTGCCATCGGAAGACTCAAGCGTATTTGTCAACAAAAGCTTCTCGCAAAATGGCAAAGTCAATCATTGCAAGGCCAAGCTGCTAGTACCTTGCAGCACTATCTCAGCAACAGATGGATTCGTAATGATTCATTGCATGCAGCTGCGTATCGTTTTGCCATCAAGAGTCGCTTCGATATGCTGCCTACCAATGCAAACAAGGCTCGATGGGGTTTATCCAATGATTCGAACTGCACACATTGCCATCAACGTGAAGACATCCACCATGTTCTCTGCTTTTGTACATCACAACAATCCAAAGTCCTACAATCGGAACGCCACAATCAAATACTCAATCGACTTGTAAAAGCTGCTCGCTATAATCACCCCACTGCCCAAATCTCGGTCAATGAATCACCACCACTTATCAACAGCGATCGACAACGACCCGATTTGGTAGTGCTTGATGAGGAACGGCGTACAGTTTTTATCACCGATGTCACCGTCACCGCCCAATCCACCTCAAACAACAATCAAGCAACTTCTGGTACCTGCATTGATCACGCACGCCAAAGGAAGGTGAATCGTTATGGTGATATTAAGAGGCAATATGAGGAGATGGGCTACACCGTGGATTTGACAGCTTTTGTTATTGGAGATGTGGGTGGCACGGATTCAGAAAATGTTCGACAGCTCAACTATCTTATTCGTCGACGAGGTCATGCTCAACGTGTACATGGATGGATCATTTGTGACGTATATCGATTCGGTCATCGCTTATGGATCAAACGCTGTGGACATACACATGGTTGGGATACATCATCAACGCGCCATAATGCAAGAGAAAGATCAACATCACGTGCACCATCCACCACTTCACCACCACGCAACACTCGCCAACACAACAATAGCGATCATCGCTCACATCGCAACATTCGCAGATCTCATGCACCAACTACCGGCAGCAACAGCGTTCCACTTTCTCGTCAACGACATTCAACACAACCACCACCAGCAACAAGCGCCAATACTGTTCCGATCAACAATCTTCGCCGCCGAGGTCGCACAATGCACTGACCACCTACTTTATCCACAATACAACAACACTTTACATCCATCTTGTATCACAATGCTCTTTCAAATTTCCCCTGACACGCTCGATCCTTTACATTACAACGCCACCGTCATCATCTTGTTTATTATCCAGTCATCGCCAGATGTTAGGATGTCATCCATAGGCTACACTACCAGTAATGTCTAGAACATTTTCTTTTTCTCCCTTTGCGAGTTTTTTCTTTTCTCACAACATGCCTTATATTGAATATCAATTACCCCCAAATCAAAATAAATATTATATGGTTCGATTCCCGGTGGGGGAAGCTTTATCTTTTTGCAAAAGGTTCCTGGTGTCGTATTCGAATCTGTGCTGGTAATCCAATGGCCAGAATAAAGAATAGACGAATGAAGCTTTTTGCTGATTGAAGATAAGAATATAAGATATGGTTTATTCATACAAGAGAAAGGGATATTTATACTATTCTAAAAGATAGGCGCAGTATGCGCAGCATGATGATGGATGATGATACAAGTGTTGCGCAGCATGCGCAGTAAAGATGTGCGCAGCAATAAAGCTGCTGCGAAGCAATGTGTAACAAAAGAAGTAGCGAAGATCACGTGTAACAAAAGAGTGATACGACACTGGTTCCGATGTTGAAAACCGAAAAAAGGCGCCTTTTTTTGGCTTTTTTTTTATCGCTTTCATTGTTATCCAAAAGTGCAAAATGTAGTGTTTTGAAACTGCATTCGTTTTATGGACCTTCTAGGGAGCAAAGCCTATCTGCTTTATTGATAAATGACTATATACGCGACATTCGACATCCTACCTGATGATCATTATCATTGAAAGATGTTATCTTTGTTGAAAGCTATGACAGCTACCTTTATTACAATGAACAAATTTACACCCTAGCGGTAATAGTATAGAGTACCAGGCGATTGATCAATACTATGGCCGATCGGTGGTCTTTGCCAAAAACGATGAGGGCATTGTTTCTTTAAAAGATAGTAGACAAATACTGAAGATAGCATCAAAATGGGTGGTTTTATTACATGGCTGATCTATGGATCGACAACTTGCAAGCAACAGCTAGCGATCTCAGGATTCATCTTGCTTCGCGCAATGCATTGAGCTAGTAGTAATCATATAGGTGTTGTCAAGCATTAATTTACAGAAAGACATCATTGAAAGCTTCTACTACCGATTGACGTGCTTCGATATTACAAACGCTTGACACTAATGATTGAAACGTTTAGGGAATGGATGTCTATTACAATGTAAAGAGGAAATGGACTACTTTGGATAAAGGATTGATGTTCAAGATAATAGGATGTTGGGAAGCTAATGCTAGAGCATGGATACCAACAACGCGTGACCGTCGGCGTGTGAGAGAGGGATGTTGTGCAAAGACTAATGATTTAGTCCGATGGTACCTCTTTGTTCTCTTTCTATTTTTTTTCTCCTCCTCCTCCTCCTCCTCCTCCTCATTGTGTGCGTCCAATAATGACTGGCCAGTCGCCCATGTCATATACCCCTTCTGGGGCGTTCAGCATTCCTGGATCGTCGCCGTTGAGCAACAACAATAGCAACAACAACAACACAGCATCAAGTTCTCTCTTTAGGACGATTGAAACAGGCGCCACGTCCTTGTTGTCATCGATGCCTTCCAATAGCAACAACAGCATGCCAGCACCTCCAAAACCTTTATTCAAAACAGTCGACACGACCACTTCACGATCGAGCAACTCTATGTTTTCTTCCACTGCATCCTCCTCATCCTCATCGATACCATCTTCATTACAACCAAAGCAAGACTTCAAGTTCAACTCTATGCCAAATATCGTTAACGGCTCGTCGTCGCAACAACAAAAACCCCCTCATCGTGCAGTATCTTGGAACACACCACCGACATTCTTTGTCACCAGCAAGAGCAATGATAATTTGAGTGCAATGGATACAGAGCCCACGGAATCATACAATGTAGCGTTTGGCGAGGGAAAATCGATCATGTCATTGAATGATGCCGAGGTAAGGGTGATTATTGGAAGCCTGTGTAATGATGATATTCACGCGGCATGATCTGTTTCCAGGCAGCCGGAAAATATGCAGGAAACAAACGCGAGAGCATATCTACCTTTGGCAACGAGTACGTTTTCAACCGAGTTGATGGATCTATCTTTTACTTAACGTGTTTATCATAGACGACGAGTATCATTCAAGGCATCAAAAGAAGCATCTGTGGATAAAGGCAAAGGTAAATGAGGGTGTGTATACCAAACAGTAACAGGATTTTCTCATCCTTTCTTTCTTTTTCTAGGTGTTGAAGGATCATCATCCCGAGATGACGATGAAAATGAATCCAAGATCAACGTGTTTGGTTTTGCACCCGAGTCCAAGCAAGCTATCCTTGATCACTTTACAAAATTCGGCAAGATTCTCGAGCATGAAAGCAAAGGCAATTGGATCATGATACGATATGCCTCGCGTGATTCAGCACAACAATCCTTAGAGAGCAACGGCAAAGCTATTGCAGGCGATCACATTATCGGTGTCACTACAGCTGCTTCTAGAAAAAGGACAACATCCGAAGAATCGATCAAGCCTACAAGTACACGCATCGTGCCATTTGGTCAAGCCAAGGATCTTTACAAGAAACCAGAAGCTAAGAAACCGGCCACAGCAAGTCCTGGCGGCGTTACTCTTGGCAGTGGCAAGGTCGGATTGAGCGTCCTGGGTTGTCCTAGCATCACTCCAAGTGGCGATATCACTCTTGTTAGTAGCGGTAAAAGCATTACGAGTAATATCAAGGAACTTTTGTTTGAATGGTGATCATGTTCTTCCTCGCCCCCTCCCACCCATATAAAGAGAAAGAGATATATACTATTAATGTGCTTTGATGATATCAATGGGTTGCATTTGTTTTATATATGTTTGTGTGTTTGTGTGTGTGTGTGGTGTGTGTAGTGGCAAAAGGCAGCAAAACGAGCTGTACAAGTGTATATATATGTGTGTGTGTCGGGAGATAAAAGAAGATAAAGAGAAAAAGGGTATATAATGACTTGGAATACTTGCACGATGGGATGGGTGGTCGATCGATCTTGATTTAAATGTCCTCTTCGCCAAGTACATTTCGAATACGGTCACGTAACGCTTCAATGGCACCCATCTTCATTTCCAATACCTCATCCAATCTGTCAAGATAATCAATGAATTCACTCGACATTTTGAGATCATCGTCAGGTCGACGTTGTCCTTCGCTTTGCTCCTTGAGACTCGTCATATACAATGAAAAGTTGGCAAGTAACTTGGTTTCCTTCTTGGAGCATTCAGCCACTTCTCTGATTTCGCCGCGATGGTACTTGATAAAGTCTTCAATGGTATGTTGTTCAAACAAAATATCATCATCATCGGTGGTATGTTGGGGCGAAGACATTTTAGCGGGCATCATGTTGAATTCATTGGCTGAAGCAGTCGAATGGGTCCTATGCATGGAGCTGCCAGATGAAGGAGGAAGCTGTTGTTGTTGTTGAGGTGGACGTCCAGAGGCACCACTGCTACTACCATGTCGGCTTCTGCTAAATTCGGAAGGATCAAATGCATTCTCAGGTGATGATGCCATCATAAGGCCATGAGCATCTTGTTGCTGCAAATCGGATGATCGAGGACTGCCACGGTGATAAGAATGATGACGAGAAGTGGGTGGACGATGGTGTTGTTTGGGTGAATGTTGTTGTTGTTGAGGATCCGCCAATGGCTTTGTTCTTGTTTGAGTCATACCCATACTATCCGCATAGACATGTTGTCGTCGAGATGCATTGCCAATGGGTTCGTGGAAAAGTCGATTTTCATGAGGGAAATCTTCATCAAGAATATTAACGTCGCTGTCGCTTGGGAAGTATTCCTCATCCAAGAATAAATCATTGTCATCGGCTTCATTGTATAGCTCTGGATCATCCGATTCTCCATAATCGATATCTCCATAATCATCTTGATAGCTGTCATCGTTGCCATAATCAAGCTCATCATTGGCCACTCTGGTATTGGGGCTGACATCACCACCCTGGCTTTCTCCACCAAGGACTCTTCGGTCTCGTTCTCCTTTGAGTTCCTTAACACTACAACCATATCATGAGTCGTTGCTCTCTCTCTCCTCTCACACCATTATAATAATCATCACTCACCGATCAGCGTAACGTAGTGTGTTGAGTGTGTGCTCGCTGTTGCTTTGATTCGGAGAAATGGTAGCAATCATACATGTGCGAGAGTTGCCAACGAATGAGTCCTTGAGCACCTATAAAGCATAGCTTAGTAAACATAAACGTCCGACTTGCATGATGTTGCATGAAAATAATTACCTGCGTTAGCTTACTCTGGCGGAACGGCGTATGTCGTTTATCTTGATCCAAAGCACGAATACATTCCTTCAATGCCAACAAGCTCTTGTTAATCTCTGCACCTTCCATTCTACAAAGACAAACCATGAGTGATTTTTGTGAGTGTTTGCAATAGAATGAATCCTACCTTGTCTTGGCATCAGCGTCTCCTCTATCAGCACCACGTTCGCTACCAGCCAAATCAATGAAGCTGAGCTTGCCAATGATCTTTTTGCGACTCTTGAGTGGTTTGAGAAGGATTTGAAGAATGGCATGAGATCGGGATGAATCCGAATTTGCTCCCGTGCTCCCTGTAACACAAAACCAAGATCAGGTCCCTGCTCCCTTTGATAGACATCCACTCATTTTACCTGTGCTTCTTGCTTGACTACCATACTCAAATACTTGCATCAAATCATTCACGTTGTTGATGACGTATTCCTTCAATCCGACGATCACCACGTTTTGTTTGCCATCCTCACGAGCGAACAGCTTTTTGCGATTGTTGAGAAGATCATACAATTGACCCTGGTAGATCTCATAAAAGCCGATCCAGGCCGTCAGGTTCTGATACTCGGGGGTTCGAAGCATGTTGAAAATGTCTCTTGCAGCCAAAACATATAATCCGTGCTTTTGATCCAACATGGTAAATGTCTTTCCAGAACCAGTCTGGCCACTAGCAAATCGTAGCAGCATGAATGAGTGAGTCAATGAATGATGCAACAAGGCAATGTCACTTACTAAGCAAAGCAGGTGGCCTTTCCACCGCCGAAAACGTACTTGACAAGAGGTGCAGCTGTCCGTTGATAAACCTTTAAACAGTCAGTAGATCACGTAAATAGAATCCACCCATTTGCCTATCCCCGAAAACAATGTACCTGCTCGTTCGATGCATCATTGTCAAAGACATCATCATATGTAAAGCTGTGCTGTTCAATGTATCTTGTCAAGTCCACCTTCATCCTATGAAACATGATAAGACCACAATGCCAAATCTTTATAATGAAAAGGGATACTTACTTTGGCTCATTGACATTGATGCTGCGAATACCACATGTGGGAGAAATATCCTTTTCGCCACGTTCTACTTCCTTTTTGTTGAGAGGTCGCTTTCTCACCACGACACGAATCTTTTGATTGAGATCGCTTTGTAACGCATGGCCGCCACTATTACCACCGCCGCCACCAGTGATAGTGACAGGTGAATTGGATGAACCTGCTGGTGATGTACCAAAAGAAGAAGGAGCTGTCATGGTGAAACCACTACTAGCAGCAGCAGCAGCACGTTGAGAGGCGGCGGCACGTTTTCCACTGATGGGGACACCATAAGGATCGAGTAAAGGACCTGAGCCACGGCGAATCTCACATTTTTCTTCCTCATCGGATGATTCATAGTCGTCTTGGAAGGATGATGAAGCAGCAGCGACAGCCGAAAAGCGATCATTGGGCGATTTGCCACCACCACCACCACTGATGGGTTTAATCGTGTCGGGACGTTGTGCCTGATCTGGTAAAGTGCGTGAGCGAGATCTTGTCGTTGCAACCATATTGGAAGAGGAAGAAATGGTTGCTTGTGGTATCCTTCGTTGTTGTGTTGAGGGAAAAGATGGGTCTGGGATTCCCGTACCTCCTGACATGCCCTTGGAACCGAGCAATGATGACGAATCCAGTGGTCGTCGACGATACGTTTGGGGTGTTTTCAAGCTGGTAGGTGTAGGTGTAGCAATGGATGGGGATGGAATCCCACCACCACCACTTGAAGATACAGTAGCTGGTGTCGTGGTTGGTGAAGCTGTTGCTGGTAGTGGTGTTGTTGTAGTTGTTGATGCAGCAGCAGCAGCAGAAGAGGATGTCGTATTGTTGGCAGTGATAGGCGATGACACGAGACCATTCTCAAGCGTAGGCAATTCTTGTCGTAGTTTTTGAACAAGCTAAATATTCAACCCCACCATCATCATGTAAGCATGATCTCTCGTCGCTGTATATCCCTCCACGCGTATTGTAACCAACTACTTGCCTGAAATAGCTTCCTTCTATCAGGAATCGAAGTGATGCCCAAGCTGCTATAATCCTGCATCGATAGCTATAATACATGTTGGATACAAGGGGCATCCCCCAATCAATAAACCAGCCAAATGTTCCCACCACCACCACACCACACCAATGCGTTACCTGTGCAAGTGACTCGAGCTGGGTGATACCATGCGTAGAGAAGCTAATAGTCTATGTTATAAGAAACGTCGCGATTGCCACATAGCACGAGTAAAGCGCAACGAACCTCGGGTAGTACTAGAATAATATTGCAATGTGAGCAAGGAAAGAGAGAGTCCGCTTGTTTCAGATTGAATGACCGTGTTGGCCGTCATTTACCTGCTCTAGATCGGCATCTCGTAGGGTATCGAGCAACAACGTTGTTACCATGTGGACCGAGTTATGGAAAGTAATGCAGAAAAAAGAAAGAGGAAAACGCTGCAAGAAAGAAAGAGAGGAGAGCTGCAAGAAAGGAAGCGCTGAGTCCTAAACAACACGCACTCTCCTTGTGTCCTCCACCATCCATCCCCCACCACTGCCACATAAGGTACCACGTTCTCTCTCACTATTGACATTGCCAAACATCACCCTATAAAGTATTCAAATATGTATTGATGAATTACCTTTGTATTGTACAATCCACTTTTTATCTTAGCGTTACGTCAAAAGTAGATTGTATGTGGCGATCCTTTTTCTATTCACTAAAAAGGAAAAGTACATCTGCTGCTGTAATGCATTTAACTTCCAAGGTTGTCGTTTAACAAATAAACGTTTGCTACTCATCCTTTCATGTCCCCTTTTGATCAATGTCTCGATCCAGTCAACGATAGAATAAATCAAGGTGCATCGATGGTGTCGACCGAGCACCATTGTAAAATACATGTTACTTACAATAAACACGTGCTACAGCGGCGGATGGATCTCAGGGGTTTGGTAGTTGTCGTTGTTGTTCATTATAATACTACTCTTTGTTGTAAAGATGATTGATCTAAACATGCATGACAATGAATGATGGAAAATGGGATATGGGATCGAACTTTCTACTACAGCTCAAACATCAACATTAGCAACGCGTATGCAACCTTGGATTCATGCGATTCAATTGGTGTCGTTGGTGAATCCTAGTCGTGTAACGTGGTCATTTTCAAATACTATGGATGACCTGTGATGTCCCCACACAATGACACGTCTTCATGCAGACTCCGAGAATGATATCAAAAGCTACCTCTTCTTCTCCCAAAGCCCACAATCCTTGTCATAAAATCTAATAGAAATCAATGCCCTGATCCAATAACAGCAGCATCCAGGGGTGAGATCATGATGATTGAATCAAGCTATGTATTGCCGAATATACAAAAAAAAGGGAGAACGTATCATTGGGTGTTTTTTTTTTCTTGTGTGTGTGTGTGTATATGTGCATGTTGATGTGAACATTTGGGGAGGGGGTAAAATGATTGTCTCAAGCTGATACGATGGTGCTAGATGGAATATCTGGAAGGACTTCGTCGGGTGACTTGGACGTGTCATGGCTCAGCGGAAATACAAATGTCTCAAGATGTTCCAAAGTATCACTGGATGTAATAGATCAGCATGATTGAAATGATGGGTATGGATCATGTTGATGTATGTATCTTACCCTTGAAGCTTAATCTTGTATTCCCCGTCCTTTTCATCCAAGGCAAAAAAGCGTGGTTCAAATACTAATCCTCTATCTTCACGTTGACGGGTATCGGCACGCTGTCGTTCTTCTACTGCTAGCTTTGCATCGGTTGCTAGATCCATATCATTTTGCTTGATACCAAGCGTTACTTTGGACCATAATCTATAATAAAAAGGGCCACGTTTAGGATCACTCATAAGCCTCCATCGATGTACATACCTTCTCGACTCATTCAATTCTTGCTGGGATTCAGGTTGAATAAGAGGCGGGAGAATCTTTGATGACTTGACATCAAAAAGGCTCGTCTTTTGTGATGTCTGGAATAAGTCATGTCAATTGTTTGTTGTTGTGGCATGTGCATGGTCAGGGAACAAGGGATAGTAACAAACCTTAGGCTTCGAGATAAACATTTCGTTTGACCAGGTCCCCGAGATCTCACGCAATACCTTGCCGGTAGGTTCGTGCTTGATCTTGCCAATCACTGCATTATAGCTTCCCGTAAAGAATCCCTATACAAGAGGTTTAATGAATGTGCACACAAAACTTAAAGGTGTCGATGAGGATGCCACCATGTCGTTTTTACCTTTGTTTTAAAGTCGAGTTCACAAATGTATCCATTGGTCGGGCAACGCACCGTGCATGAATCCCCCAATTCCATCACCATTTTCCCAACTGCAAATTGACATGTGAATACCATGCGAGAGTGAGCAAGAATGAAAAGGAATTAACATAAACATGTCAATGGCCCATCCTTGTCCTCTCTCCTTTTTGTGTGTGTGTGTGTGTGTGCCTGATAATGACCCCAAGAAGAATGACTTACATAAAATACCTCTTGCATAGACATTAGGCATGGTGACATGGTAGGTTTCATTGTTCCATCGTGTAAGGGTAATGTGGGACGTGCCATCCATAATGGTTGCAGCACTGTTACCCAGGAACTTTGGTTTGGGCCTTAGGTTACCCTGGATCACAAGACCATTGTCGGGGCTTGCATAGTAATAGGCGCTCATGGGTGGGTGATGTGATACTTGCTCCGCAATATAGATCGCTTTGGTACCATTGTCATAGTTCCACTGACATCGAAAAAACTCGCCAAGAACAGGATTATAGGGTTTCTTGACACCCTGAAATAAAAAAACAAGTATTAAACCTTCCATGCGTACATGTGTGCATGTGTGTGTGCGTGCGTGCGTGTGTGTGTGTGTGCCCTTCACGTGGTCATTTTTTTTACCTTGGGTTTGATGTGCCATCCGGAAAGAAAGTATTGCACCACCCCAATAAATCGATCTAAAGGATCCGTATATGCATTGGCACTGTATAAGATCACATGCAGTAATCATTGACATGCACCAAGAAGGGGTTGAGTGAAAAAACAAGAGGTGGTTGGTGTCAACAAGATCGTCTTTTACATGTTCTCTGCTAGTTGTAGTTGTTACTCACGCTTGAATCAAATCGGGATGACTCATGAAATCAGTGATGCGCTCTAGCATACTACGAGGTTCGAGTACAAAAGTAGGAAGCGCCACTCGATGTAGGTCTTTTCCTTTACGAAGCTGGGCAATAATGTCCAAGATGATGCTACGTGAGTCGTCTTCAAGAACTTCAGTGCAATCGGGATCGCCTTCAACAGCTGCGTTTTTTCTGGTCATGTCGGTGATGGATGCAAAAAAGGGGAAAGATAGGAAAGGCGAAAGAGAAGGGAATGATTGGATGTGATGGCAACGGGCGTGCGTGCGTTTTATATACATATACACACCCTGTGTGATCGGCATGAAATTTGGCCTCTTTTGATAAGCTCAAGTTCCCTTGTTGTACCCATCACCCCGCACGCAGCGTAGTGGATGCCCTCTTTTAGTCTCCTTTTCATGCATCACTCGACACGTATACATAAAAAGGGATCTCTTCCACCCCTCTATTGTATTGCTCCTTTACTGCATCATAGAAGCGTAACGTAACATACACGTTCCTCCCAATCCAAAAGAGTGATTGATTGAGTATACGGATGTTGCATAGGCCATACTATGTCTTTTAAAGTGCAGCTTCCGAAAGCATCACCTAGTCGGAAAAGAAGCTTCCATGATGGCTTTTAGTGATTTTCCGTCATCACCCATCATCGACTCCTTTATGTCTTGTGTCATATATAAATCGATCAGAACTCTCTTTGACACACATGACGTGAATGATTCAAGCCTCATCTCATTTTAGAAGTCGCATTGGCGGCATATCCCTCGGTTTTTGATTTGAGCAACAGCAGTAGTTACACACAGGCTACGTATGACGTATGTCAAATGATTGATCCGAGCGTAGTGAAGGATGAGTATGTTAAGCCTACATTCGATTTGGTATTAAAAGTATGGTTGATTATGTATTTGGATATGCTTTTATATGGATTATGATACAAAGGAGGAAGTTGTTGGGGTCGCGACATGCACTACAACTATTATGAACACATAAATAAAGAAGTAGAGAGATGAGTCATATTCAAAGGTTGATGGGCTATAGAAGAGGATAGCTAGGATGGGTTTATTGATAATGCGTAACAAAGGCTATTTTATGATGACAAGAACAAGTCGTTTATGGTTGCTCAACAACATAATGCAAGAAAAGGCGGCCGCTGAATCCATTGGTCACGCAAGACAACAGGCTTTTTTTTTTCGTTTCTGCTTCACATACACCTACCTTCTTCGGACACCTACAAACGACTATACAGTAATCCACACCATAGAATGGGAGACCGATCGACGCTGCATCCACCCACTAGCACACGAATGCCTGAAAGGACAAGCTCGCCTAGCCATGGTTCACGTACAATGACGATTGACCCGGCACAAGAGGACTATGCAGATGAGAACACTGACAGTGGTGAAGACGACGTGGGGATACTACGACTTCGAGGTGATATGTCAGCAAGACGACCACGAGCTATCCAATGGGATGAAAGTGTCGTTGATAATGAGCACATGAATAAAAAAAAGTCGAAAAGTGAGTACCTTCACAATGAAAACCCGAGATTTGTCAGCTTACATGGAATAGTTTGTTGTATATATCATCGACCGCGAGCTGTGGGGGAATCCTCGGATGAAGAAAGCAGTAGTGATAGCAGCAGTAGTAGCAGTGACAGCAGTGACAGCGACAACGATCATAGCGACCATTGTGATCATCATCATCATCATCATCGTCATCAAAGCAAGAAGAAAAAGAAGAAAAGAAATCCAAGAGAAGCGAGTCCCAATGCATATGAACGACAACCGGTTTATAAAGGTAAATCAAATCATATGGATACGTATATGGATAGTACAATGAATGGATGCTGATGTTTGTTATTGAATACTAATAGATCGACGTTGATGAAGCAGACCCCTTCGATATCGCTTTTTCTTTTCCACTTGATCTTTTGAATAAAACGTCGTCGAATAAGGCCTATTTCATTGTTACATGGCATTATGGTGAAAAGTAGAGGAGGATGGAAATCGCCTGAGATCCAATCAATGCATGATAAAACAGACGCGTCGCTGAGTGGAGAGCTACTTTCTTTCATTCACGCTTTTCTTTATTCGACAATGGCACCTATGAAACGACGAAACGCAATGATCCCTAAACCCAGAAGAGCGAGAGAACTCGCCAGCATGCGCAGAAGGAACAGCGCAAAAGCAGTGGACCTTGTCTCAGAGTCAGAGTCAGAGTCAGGATCAGAATCAGACGAACAAGAGGATGAAGGGGTTTACGAAGTGGAACGCATCGTCGACCATCGAATGTCAAGGCGTTATCCGGTAAAGTGTTGAGCGGAGGCGCATTCACGTTGTGGGGTCAACTCACTACTATTATAGGGTACCAAGGAATATCTTATCAAGTGGAAAAACTATGACGAGGACAGCAATACATGGGAAAACGAAAAGAACGTGTACGTGGGATCTATAGCATCGAAGCCAAGGATGGCATATTAATGTTGTCACATGTTGGATAGCTTCTCTGAAGATTTGATGAAGAAGTATTGGGATGAGAAGAACAAGGAGAGGAACAACAAAAAGAGATCAACGGCTACATCAAGTTCAATGAAGAAGAAGAGGAAGCAAGAGCGCGACAATGATAGCAAAGTCGAGGTCTCTATTCATCCGCCAAGCGGTCTCGAATGGGAGGATGCCAAACGAGTGGTACACATCTTTGCTGACAAAACCAGTGAACTTTTCGGCAGAGTGGAATGGTAAATGATTGTACGTGGTAGCTGTATCATTCTCTTTACTGATATCGTCAGATAGGCCCGATGATCAAACGACTTTATACAGGACGTCCATTTTACGAGATGAAATTCCTGGTTTGGTACAGTATAACAATAAGGATGGGATTTATGAATCGTATTTCTGACAACAGCGTTGTATAGCTCATCGACTTTTATGAGAAGCATCTTGCGTTTGCCGAGACAAAATGATCTGCAAGGGGTGTTATTTGACAACAAAAAAGGCGCAAGGACGAGGACGAGGACAAGAACGCTTGGTACCCATCAATGAACCGGATATTGCAGGTTGTTTTTATCGAGACGTATTAGCATTATTGTTATTCAAGATTTATTACATTCGCATTCTTTGTCATATACCAAACAAATGGGTTTATGGGTTGTCATGGGATTTCTGGAGAAAACGGGATAGACCAAGGAACATTGAATGTCATCCTTTTCTTGGTAGTGATGAATCAGGAGAGGGAGCCTCATTGTCTTTGAGAAACTGGAAATAGAACAAGGCTTACTACTCTGTGTGCTTTTAATAGTAGCCCAACCTGCATTGACATTCGGTGTCACAAGATGCGAGCGGCATGCAGATCCGTGCTCATTGTTTACACGCACACACGCACACACACATGGTCATTTGCATGAACAAAGCAATGTTGTAGTGAAAAGTCTACACAATACAAAAGTTGATATATTACATGGACGAGAAAATGCACAAAGGAAGATATGACTGGGATGATTGCAATATATGGTGGTGGTGGTGTGGATGAGTGGTGGCTCTTTTTGGAAAGTAGTAATAGAAAGTAATAGAGATGATGACGAGGATTAGTTATTGGTTCATGACATGATAAATAAGATAGCCTGGTAGACCGTATACACCAAAACCCATCGATTTGGCCATCTTGGCAAAGCCTTCCGTTTCAACCTGATGCTGGTATACGTAGGCTGGGAAGTTGGCACCTTCACGATGCACTTCCGATTTGACAAGTGTAAAGGTTGCACCCTATAGGAAAAAGTAATAACAATGACATGAGCTATCACATGATCCCATTTCCTCCTCTACTATCCTCAGCAACCAAAACTTACCACGCCATCCAAAGGTACTTTGTTTAATCGACCCAAATGGGTTGGCATATCCACCATGAGTGCACGGTGTGTCAAGAATTCGTAGTAGCCTTCGAGTAGTACGTAGTCCTATGATTGAAACATGAGCGACGGGTAAAAGGAAAGATGGTATCTATATGCACTTACCGGATCCAAATCCTTTTGCACAGCCAACGATTGTTCGGTCTCTTGCCAATTATTCTTGTCATAGCCCCAGAAGGAGTTATCCTCAGTTTCACGCAAGCAGTTGGGAACGACAACATCCACATCCACGCTCATGAGATCTTCCAAAATGGTATCAGGATACTCAACCAAGTCGACATCGAGCCACAATACCCAAGAATGTTCCTCTCGGAGTGCGGCTGTGAGCAAATAGTTTCTTGAGCGAGCCATGTATGAACGGCGTAAGGGTTGCAATTCAAAAGTATGGCGCTTATCCTCGGGTAATTCGAAGTTAAAGTCCTTTTCGTAAATGGCAATGTGGTGATACCGGTCGTGCTCACGATTCAAAAATACATCAGCTTGTTCCTTGAGTTTATCCACGGTATCGTCATCCGTATCCGATACAAGAAAAGCAACCGTGATGAGATGCTTGGGGTATGTCATGCGATCAAGCAGCTCAAAGTAGCGTGGAAGATAGGGTGATGCATTTTTCAAAGGTGTCAAGATCAAGACGTGCTCTTGTTTTTCCTTGGCATTAGGAGAAGCTTCCAGGTCGTTCAGGTTGATAAAGGTTGTTTTGCTTGAGCTGCCGGTTGAAAATGCCAGGGCCTCGTTCCATGTCCGTAACCGGCCACCCATCTCACACCCGTTACCACCAAGTGTTGCTTTTGATAGCGTCAATAGTGAAAGAAAGAGAAAAACCAAAAGGGTCACTAATAGGGCTGTGAGTCGTTTGCTTCCTCGCACATAGAATGCTGCTGCTGCAGATGTCTTTGTGCTTGCTTTCTCGGATGATGACATGTGTGTGTGTATGGGTTTATACGAGTGATAGGAATGAAAGATGGAGAGCGATACAAAAGTGAAAGGGAGAAAGGAATGCAGGTGCAAGGGAAAAAAACAAAAGGGATCGACAAGAAATGTAGTCGTCGGGAAAAGAAAGGGTGCTACAAAGTCCTACCTTTTGCCAGGTGAGCGAATAAACCTTAGCCTCGGGCGGGACTCAAATCACATCACTGTATTATTGGCTTATCGGTCATTTCTATTCTTGGCCGCTCCCCATTTAAGCTTCTCGACCTTTTTTTCTTCAAAGAAAGAACCATCGATAGGTTTCAGCCAAGCCATACTGCATGCTGTTGCTCTGCGCAATCTTTATGAGGAGGGCTGGTTGAAAGGCACTATAAAATTGGTTCGATTCATGGCCTTCTTTGCCCAGACTAATGGCCAATGGTTCAATTTCCTATATATCATTATTGTAATTATCGCGCAATTAACACCCCACAGCCGTACTTTAGTTTTCTATATACGACATCACCATCCTTACTTTTCCAAGGTGCATGACATCTATGCATCAATATCGATGCAATAATTAAAAGGCGAAATACCCAGGTGCTTGAGTGTGCAGATCCCTGACGACGATCCTTTTCCATTCCCATAGCTGTTGTGTGAGGATTTTGTGACACGGGATGAATATGAGCGGAAGATCTCATGCCGATGATGTGCGATTTTCTCGCTCTCTACTCATAAAAGGAACATCACATTGCATTGAATGTAAACAAAATCCACACCATCCAATTTTAGATAACCATTCGCATCATTCTTTTGTAGGGCTTAGCAATGTTATGAAATCACACGGCTATAGAGAAATGATCGCAGCTGTTGCACAGCCGAGAGATGGAGCCAAAATAGAAATTCTGCGACGACGGTGTGAGAGAGTATTACAATATCGTGCACAATCGTTGAGACACAAAGTGAAAGCGCACATCATGTTTAATTCTGTGCATGGTACAGACTAAACCTTATTCTTGTCATTGCTGCCATAGACATGTGATCAAACAAACGCTCAAGTCAAAATGTGAGAAACAGGCGTCAGCCCCATATACATTGTTGTATGACCTAACTCATTTAATCCTTTCAGCCTTTTACTATCAAGCTATCTATATTATTCTTGCCGTCATCCATCAAGAGAATAATCGTCATTGCTAAAAATGTGTCTATGCAGAAGAAAGTGATATCGTGCAACCGGGTTGTTCTCCACAGACCATTCACACAAAGGTTGTATGCCAAGCGGTTAATCGGCTGGTAACATAAGGCACAATCCCACGCATCATGATGCTTCAAACTTTCATTGTTTGACCCATAGATTATCTTCGTATACTGAGAGCTTGTCAGCTTGGTCGTTGTGCATCATGCATCATAGTTTTGCAATCTGCCATATGCCTTGCATGAATACTGGTTTGCTTGCTGATTATGTAATGGCGCGTCATCCAATACTGATACTTGCATATATTGAATGGTTTATTCGATGAGATTGACCAGAGACTATTTTACAACCGGTGTGCTGAGGCGAAGTGGAAGGTATTGGGCGCAGCAGAAAAGAAGATACGATGATGGTTGCTGTACACAAAGAATAATGCCGACCGAAAAATCCGATGTTGTGTTGCTATGACAACGCCATTCGCGGTAAAGGGATTTACAAGAATGTCCGCAGAACCCATTCCACTGTAGTAGTGTTGTTCAAAACGATGATGACTTCATTGTAGATGTTGCTAATTGCTGAATCTAATAACCCGGCGTTAGATACACTACATAATCATGTTTTCATATTATGGTGGATGGATACTTACAACAGGATGCTATGTTGAAGCAGCTACCAAACGCGATGATGAAGCGAACATTCCTCAATAAGCAACACCAATAGCTCCTTCCTTGCCGTCGTGTTTGAACGAATCCATTTCACTCCTTTCATTGTTGCTGCTACCCATCAAAGGCGCCTGGGACATTGATGTCAATGCACCATGTCGATCCAACTCCGAAGGCACAGCGATTGCGCCGAAACCATGCATCGCACAAAGTGTCCTCAAAAAGTGTCCACGTCCAACCTCAAAGTGTCCATGCCAAAGTGTCCTCAAAGCGTCTTCAAAATGTCCACGCCAAAGTGCATTGAAAGTATCTATGCCAAGTGTCCTCAAGGTGTCCTCAAGGTGTCCTCAAGGTGTCCTCAAGGTGTCCTCAAGGTGTCCACACAAAGTGCCCTCAAAGTGTCCACACAAAGTGTCCTCAAAGTGTCCTCAAAGTGTCTTGAAAGTGTCCTCAAAGCGTCCTCAAAGCGTCCGCACCAAAGTGTCCTCAAATTGTCCACGCCAATTGTCCACAAAGTGTTCAGGCCAAAGTGTCCTCAAAGTGTCCTCGAAGTATCCACGCCAAAGTATCTTCAAAGTGTCCATGCCAAAGTGTCCTCAAGGTGCCCTTAAAGTGTCCACACAAAGTGTCCTCAAAGTGTCCTCGAAGTATCCACGCCAAAGTGTCCTCACAAAATGTCCTCAAAGTATCCTCAAAGTATCCATGCCAAAGTGTCTTCAAAATGTTCATGCCAAGTGTCCATACTTGGGGAGGGAGCTACATCAAAACAATGCAACATGAATATGCAATTCATTACGCAGCATGATCATGTTTTACCTTTTTCTGGGAGTCAAATATGACAATGAAGACGGCGACAATGAAAGCAGGATAACAATAACACGTACTGTGAATGAACACAAAGGTAAGCTTTGATCCTCCAGATTGCAAGGAATGAGAAACGCACCAATACTTGGGATCTTGACAGCGTGAGCAATCAAATCAAGATGGCGGAAAGAGATGTGTGGTGTAAAATGATGCGTAGCAATAGCCCTTGTTATGCATGGCAGACGTGTTGAGTGCTCACGAAGGCAAGAGCGACGAATGTTTGTTGAGGATGGTACATATCAAGTGGTTGGGATGGTGACATTGCTGTTGTAAAAGAACATGAGGGTGTGTGAGATGATATTGCATTGTAAGACGTTGCTGCAAACCTTGTTCATATACATTGGATATACACTCGTACCTTGGATTGCTTGTTATAGTATGATGGTTTCAAGGATACGACGAGTCTGTAGCGATGGGCGTATGTCAGGTTCGCGTCTTCATTGTGTCCTAGTAGGGTGCTCCAAAGTCGATGCTTGTTGTCAAGATGTTATGTCTAAAAGCAGCCTTCTTCTTCACTCGTTGCAGGTGGCTGAGACGATTGCCGTGGAGAGCATGTCAATTGGCAACCGGAATAAAGGAATTAGATGGTGGGAGGAATGCAACATGAGAAAAAGAAAACAACTGAGAAAAGGACAAGTGTAACCAACGCTGCATTAAAAGTGGCGGGAGTCAATCAAGTACGTCAACATGCATGCACCCACCCACCTCCATAAGCATCACATTTAAAGTTCTCAACCATTGTCATTGCCGTGTGTATATTAGAAACAGCGAGATTGATTATAAAAAATGTCAAGGAGGAGATATTTACAAAAGCATATAACAATGAGAAACAAGGCTATTGTGTGATAGAGTAGGAGATAAGGGTGATTTGGGGTAGAATGATAAAGAGTAATTGGATACAGCAAAAAGTTTATGCTGCTTCAGTCTTGACACCTGCTGGTGCGTACGATCCACGATACTTTTGTTCAATGCGCATCAAGATCTCATTATCTTGCTGGGCCGTGCCACCGCCACCAAAGAGCTCGTCCATTTCTTCTAAAGTGCAACCTTTGGTCTCAGGAATGAAGAACCATGTGAAGAAAAAGGAGAGCAAACAAAAGCAAGCGAAGAAAATGTAGGTGCCAAATCCAATGTTCTCCAACATGGGAGGAGTGATTTGTGCAATAATGAAGTTGTTCATCCAATTACTGCTGGTTGCAATCGACATGCCCTTGGCTCGAGCACGGAGTGGGAAGATCTCGGCAGTAATGACCCAACCGACAGGTCTAAACGTGGTCATTAGTATCATTCATTCATCTGTTGCAGTAGGTGATTGGTAACTTACCCCCAAGAATAGGCATAATTAGCAATGAAAAAGTACATGCATGCAACTGCACCCCAGCCTTTGCCTTCGTTGCCAACCCAGTTGCCATCAAAAAGACCTTGAATGACGGCCACGATCGCCATGGAAAGAGTCATAAAGATAGATGCCACCATAAGAGTAGGCTTACGGCCCATCTTATCAAGGAACAATACGGTAGGGATGGTAGCTACAACATTGATAATGCCGACTACACCAGTGGCGAGAAGCTTGATAGTGTTTCCTTCGAGACCAAGTGATTGGAAAATCTTTGGTGCATAGTAAATGAGCGAGTTGGTTCCACAAAATTGCTATTTTGAAAAGGCTATTGAGTACGCTATGGATGGATCTTATCAATTTTTCAATACCTGAAAGAATTGAACAATGGATGCAATGGCAACACGGTTGAACATACCAGGGCGGAAGAGATCACGATAACCCAAAAGGCCAATCATGAAGCGAGCTTTGAAACCCTTTTGGTCAACGTATTGAGGATATTGGTGACGCTCCAATTCCTTGTCAAATTCGACTGAAATCTTAATATCACGCCATTCATCTTGCAATACAGGGTCATCAATAGCACGTCGACGCAATTTGGATAGCACCTTTAATGCTTCTTCTTCACGACCTTGGCTCATCAACCATCTTGGTGAGAATGGGAAAAAGAGGATACCGATACCAAGAATGAGGCCAAGTATGAGTTGCAAGCATAGAGGGATTCGCCATTGTGCCTCGCTGTTGATATACTGAGTGCCAAAGTTGATCCAGAAGGAGACAAGGATACCGATGGTGATAGCAAATTGTTGCAATGATACGAGTGAGCCACGCACTTCGGGTGGTGCAATTTCAGATTGATACATGGGCACAAGCATACTAAGTGAGCCAACACCAAGACCACAAATAAAGCGACCCGCCATCAAATAGGAGACCGTTTGTGCACCGCCTTGAAGTGCACTACCGAGCAAAAATACAAGACACGCCATGACGATCGTATACTTGCGACTAAATCGATCCGCTGGATAAGCTGTCAACCATGCACCAGCCCATGCACCCAACTCAAGAATGGCTACCACAAAACCATTCTCAGTTGAGTTCATTGGAAACCTTGCCATGAAAGTTTCCATTTCTTGAACACCCGAAATCACACCAATGTCATCTATTTTGTATCAAGAGATCATGTGAGCCAAAGTGAATGCACATCTTCCTATATTTCATATAGACTTACAGCCAAATGTACAACCACCAATGGAAGCAAAAAGAGCCGTGCCGAATACAAATGGGTTGTTGAAAAAGCCCTTGAGACCACTTGATGTTGCACGCTGCTGACTCGGATGTCGAGGATGCCCCGCATCAATATCGGAGATGGAGTGCTGATCCTTCTCAATAGACATGCTGACGATGATAAGAAAAGAAGAGATGCAGGGGCAGATTGGGTGGTTTATATAGATGTGGGTCGTGAATTCAGGTGGAACATGATTGGGCGGAACACAACGTTAGATTCAGATTGCCCGATTGAAGGATCATGTGGCCCCGTTTTCGTTGAATTGGACCTAATCCTATCTCCTACTCGCACGCATTCATTATGGGAACATGAAAAAGATGATCATGGAGCTGATTGTTAAAAGAATAAAGCATCTTGAGGGGATAACAACATGTTGAATGTGCATGTAGGTTGAGTGACAATAGCATGGGTCAGCTTGTTTCTTGTTCCTTCTACCCCACAACACACCCCGCACCATCCCAACCAACCGCTGTGCAACTCGAGACCACAGACCCACCAAAACATACTCATTTTAGCAACCATCCAACAACCCATTTCATCTCATCATCCCGTTTCCATGTATATGGAGTTTTCTTAAAGGTCAATGTGTTCCTTGTGTTCTTTCCCAGGGCTGTCAAAATTATCTTGACGTAAAAGGTAGTACAAGGGAACAGAATTGGGTGTGGTGAAAGTTACCCGATCTTGCCCATTGTCTCACCGGCTATCTTGTGTGTATGATTCTTTTCGTAATGCCCTGTGCATGGCTAGATCCGAATTTGTTTTCAATCCGCGGAACCCATCAGCCATGAATCAATGATGGTATCACACCCATTATGAAGAAGACGACATTGATGTGATGCTGTTTGTGGTGTGTATATCATCCACCGGGTTTTATGGCATATAGCTTCATCACTATGCATTTACACAAGTGCTACAATAGCGCATAATCCACCATGGGTTAAACCCGTTTCTTTATCAATCGGCTTTTTTTCTTGTGACTGAAACTAAACACCTATGCTGTATATAGATCAATTCTCCCTCAATTGTGCTCCCATAAAGCAAGAGTCCGCAAACTTTGTGTGTCGTTGGATTTACTTTTGTATGCAAAGAAAATTAGGGATCTCAGGGTGTAAATCTTTTACATCAATCATGTTGCTTTCATCATCGATAGTAAAATAAATGGTGTGCCTGGTTCACTGGTCGATCTATTATTGAACCAGTGAATCGGCTGAAACATGTACAAGATAAAGAAGGCTAGCCCAAAAAAATCATCATCACCAAAATGAAACGACTTTTACTAGAGGTCGTCGGATGGTGCTGCTCGTTCCTTCTCATCCTTCTATGTCTCGTCATCATCATACACATAGGATCCTTTTAACTATGCAATGCATGGGAGCCTATTGCAATCATGATGTGATTATTTGACCCAAGATAATGGAAGCAGACATGTGTGTGTGTGTGAACATGATTCAAGGTTGATGACCGGTCGTCAGGCACCGACCATGTTATGTAAGCTGTGGAGAATGATTTCGGAGAATTCATGGGCAGCTTGCTTATGTCAGCTGCAGATCCAATCAAACCTTGGGATCAATGCAATCGCCGCTCCAAGGAATAGCGGTATGAGTTGACGCAGAACAACGTGGTCTTCGGGGGGTAATCCAATTTGTGAAAATATGGGGAATGGCGGTACTTTTAACAATAAACATGTGGGGGAGAAGGGCTACCCCACATCAAGATAACATACATACACTAAGAGTTAATAGCAAACCTCCATTTCTTTCATGCGCACATAGCACAAAGTAGTACAACAAGAGCCAATTTCAGAGGGGACAACAAAGCAATCAATGGGGCATCACTTGTATTATCGGTAAAATGGAATCGGGATTCATACAATGCATAAATGTCTATCCGAGCTTCTGTTCGAAGAGAGTGGATGGAAGACATGGCATCCAATTAAAAACCGAAGCCAGCTTGCGGTGTCGTTGCCTGAAATTGAAGTCAAGGATTATGCACAACGGGTCGTTCTTTATCTCTTACTTTTGACACCAATGAGCAAGCGACATTCCAATCGGACACCTTGACCAACAATGCTGAACGAAATCGAGGACATGCTGAAGGACAAAAGCTAGGAATTGCAAACACAGCTACAGCTGGCACGATCCAAAGCCGACAATGAGGAACACCATCCGCAACGCAACGCCTTTTACTATTATCATCGCGTTCAACAACACTCGCTTTGCACGCCAACAAGGATGTCGAGTGAACAGCAACCATTTTATCATGGTGAATAATACAATGTGTCAACGCCGATCTTTATTCTTCAACTACCAGCGGTTTATGAAGAGGACGTGGGTTTGAAGGTGATATGAACGACTAGCAGTAACCCACCAAATCAACATAACGATCATGGCAGAAGGTGAGGTGCGAACCATGTAAAAAGAGATAGGATACAACATGCTTTTGCCGTTTTAGTATCGCCATCAGCTGCTGCAGACGATCCATGACATTGTTGTTCGATCCGCATCAAGATCTCGTTATCTTTTGGGCCAATTCATCAGCAAGTACATTTCCTCAAGAATAGCTCCCTTGGACTATGTAACAGAGAAGCACATGAAGAAAAAGGAAAACAAGTACAACAAGCAAGCAAGAAGATGGGCTCTGGAGATCCAACACGGTGATCAGGTAGTGGTTTGTGCGATTGATGTGCTCTTGGATAGTACAAGTGGGATATGGTAGCATTATCAGATAGCGTAGTACAATAAACACTTCATTGATGGATGGCATTTGTTGATTGCATCAAAATTGGATAATGGGTTCATTCGTTGAGTCACATCTTCGTGAGCATCTAGTTGATGATGACCTTAAATGTCGCCTATTTAGGCTTCGCCAATTAAAGTTCGAGGACACGTGTGCCTGTCGACCACGACAATGAAAACAAGATAACAATGAAAGCATATGGATGGCCACAAAGGTGAAATACAAACCACAGGGTTGCAAGAAATGCCATGTGCACCAAATCCTGGACGTTTTGGTGTTGCAGGCAATAATCAAAGGGGTAGTACGATAGAGGCAAGGAAAGAGAGGAGGAGGATTGGACAATCAACAATGCATGACAACATCCATTCTTATGTACATGGATGTATGGTGATATTATACTCTCACAAAGAACAAAGAATGATGCTATACGTGGATATCGAGTTTATTCGGCTGTTCGATCATATTTGTCACCATTCAAAGGGAGAGGGGTAATATCTCGATCCTTAAACCCGCTGGTTGGGCTGCTCTCCTGAAGGACGTTCTCACGTTTTAAGGGAAATGAATATGCATTTTTACTGTATTCGTGGCCCTTATTTTCTTGTGTGCATCGCTGTGTGCCAATTTCATCATATTCACCGTGCTCGTGCAGGTCGTTCTTATATAGCGGCGGGGAGAACAAACCGAAAGATCACCGAGAAGCTGCAGTAAGGCTTATTATTAAGCAGCCATTATTATAGCGGGAATCACCCATTTAGTCTTTGATGATAATGTCAAGGATTCAGGCGGCACAATTATACTGCGTATGTATATCAACTCCTAATAGTGTCCTTGAGGGCAGTCTATGAACATGCGTAAAAGTTAACGTGGATCACTGTTTACACTTAGTAACAATAACCTATGCCTATCTTGTACCGTGATGATGATACCTTCCCTTCCTCAATGTAACGTTTTAGCTTTGTACCATAAAAGGGGTAGTACATTCATTAGAGATTTAGCTGTATACAAATCTACGATATGAATTATACAGCATGAAAAAATCAACCATATCGGGGAATCGCGGCAGGCTACATAACCTGGAGATCGGGGAGAACATAGGGTCTTGCCCGATTTCCTGGATGCTGCCTGATCGCTTGATTTGAGCGTTAAACTAGGTACGTTGATATTACCTTTTCTTTTGCTTACCATCATGTCCCTTTTTGTTATCTTGGATCTCTTTTTCTTTTCTTCTTTCTCCTCTCGATCACCATTCATTGTCATTATCAGATATGAATCCGCACCACCACCCTGTTGATTCTCTCTTTGGGTGCCCTGTATGCAGCAGCCGACTCAAGAATCCAGTAACGCTATCGTGCGGTTATACAGTGTGTAAACATTGTTTGCCCTCCCAACTATCAACTGGAATTGCTGGTGGTACGATGTCCACCCAAGAACAGCGCACTTTTATTTGTCCGGTAACGGCCTGTCAACAGCGCGCACATCTATTTGGGCGTGATCGGGAGATCCATGTTGACACTGTGATCGATGCATTAATCTCAGCCGAAGCCTACTATGATGTATCAAGAATGCAACAACGATGGCCGATGGTTAAGAAGCGACGCATAGAAAAGAATATGGATGATGGGGATGATCGACATGACCACCTCCTTGAATGTCCTAAATGCAGCAACATGTTCTCGGATCCTATCACCACGCATTGTGGGCATGTCTTTTGCAAAGTGTGTTTGTTGAAGCTTGCAATACAGGGTGAGCCCTGCATTAAATGTCACAATCCTTTGCCCCGCTTCAATCATTTCTTGAATCAAGCAGCCGTTAATCGTATTTTGCAGCAAATGCTAAACAATAGCGGCGTTTCATCAGCACCATCATCATCATCATCATCATCATCTTCGCTCCTCATAGCCGTATCACAGCAACCGATGCCTGTATTTGTCACTGGCTTGGTGATATTACCAAGGCAACATGCAAGGCTACCAATCTATGCCCCAGCACATATACGCATGTTCCGTGAAGCTGTTTTTGGTGATCGACAACAAGGCAAACTATACCTCGCAACCGTTCATCGTGGTAGGCCATCAATGGCACACTATGGAACCATTGTTGAAATTGTATCGATTGAAACTCCACATGCATCGCATTCACTCGACCATGGCATGGTACTTGATGTAGTGGGATGTGAACGATTTACAGCCTCCGATGCTGCAGCGGCAACAACAGGGATGTCATACGACATATCAATGCTGACAGCCTATTGCTCATCGATACCTAACGACAGCAACATCATGAGGGATGACGAACGTGTAGATGAGATTCGTCGCTTTTTGAGCGAGATTGCACATCATCCACCACCAGCTATCGAATGGGGCACGCTTTGGTTTGACACAATGGAGCGTATCCATGGTCATTTGCCTCCACGCCATGCACCTGTTGAAGACCAACTATGGTGGACAGCGATTGTGTTACCTGTCAGTGCCACGGAGCGATACAGCCTTCTTTGTATCGTGCCACTGGATGCACGCCTCAGCTTAGTCCTCTCTTGGACACGACAACTTAGGGAACAATGGTCTACTCAACACCAGCAATAATCTATCATACCGGCATGTTTCAAAACATTCTACTCGTATCATATGCATTTGCTCATACAGCGCCTGACAAGGTTATTACTATGCTTCTCCTTTATTATCCTCCATACCTCTACACATACAATCATCACGACTTCACATACTATGCATGTTTTCTCCCTTTTGCTCTTTTTCATGACGCCTACATTCCCGCTATGCACCATCTTTTGTTTCATACATGTATAATCGGTCATTTGCTTACATATGTGCTATGCACAACATCATCATACATGACTTTTATTGAAGGTTTCTCCAAACCGGCAACAGCCCCCTTCACTTTTTAATATGATATCCCGACGACAATATATGCAGTAAACCGTATCATACCTTTGGATCGAACAAGCGGTTCGAATTAAGAGTACATTGCATTAGTAAGGGATGAGAAAAATGCATCGTGTTGAGTAGGAGGAGAAGGGAGGATTCAGAGTGGGAAATCTTCACACATGGTTGTCAGGCAGTCGTCAGGTGGAAAAAGAGGAGTGGATTTCAGACAATGAAAACAATACATAAACGACACATGCCATCCAAATTTGTTCATGATGCCAAATTTGCATTCCCTCTCCCTTAAAATCAAATCCATCGATCGCCATACTATGACCCGACGTAGTACAAATTGATCGCATTAGAACAATTTAGCCTTTTGGATTTCCCCATCTGCTGCTGTTACTGAATGCCTCCTATTATTCTATCACCCTGCTTTTAACAAATTGGGACTGACACGCGACAAATCTTTACTGCCCTAAGGGCCATAGAAAAGGGTGCAGATAATGAATTCGGATGACATCCCCAATCATGGAAGATGTATTGTTTCTAATACATTATGTACCAGAATGGTTTTCAGGTTTGAATTTGAATCTTGGTTGCTGCATGCTAACGCTTACGTGTGCAACGCTTCATGCTCAAAACCAGCACGCAGGTATGCCATCATTCCTAAGCTCGCACGTCTCGTCATCGACTACCTACGATCATGTATTCTATCATGGTGGCATTCCATTACTGACGAATACTTCTTTGTGGATTCAATCCTCTTGAATCGATATGTTTGATGGTTGATGGTAAAAACCACTCCCCTCATGGCAAAACACACGATCATGTGTAAGATCCATCGCATCGCAAGATCAGCATTTCATCTACTACGTGATGTATCAATATTGGTATGAAATGAAAGGCATCGTTGGATTTATTGTGCATAGCTGATGCTTGGAAATGATAAAGAAGTGTCAATTCTACGACGATGTTGAAATAGGATAAATGATATCGTGGTGCATTGAAGTCAATGAATACATAGTAAAACGAATCCTTCTGCTATAATTATGGGCATGTTAATGACATAGATGATGGATTTATCTGCATTTGGTACCTCCTATGGTGGGGTTTGCGTGATCGAAGAAAACGCTCTGATGGGTGGAGGTGAGCCAAGTCGGTGTGTGCAGCGCAAAAAAGAAGCCCTATCCCAATTGGAGATGCTCACTGGGAGATTTAATTCGGGGACCAGCAGCTCGACGACTTTGACACAAGTGCTTCTCTTCTCTTTCTCCCATTCATGACATTCCGATCAAGGTAATGCTCTCAATGGTTGCGAGGTTTCCATATAGTCCTGAGTACTCATAGGCAGGGGGTGTAGTAGGTGATGGTAGCCATGGCAATATCGTTGCTCTTCTTGTTCGTTGCTATGCCGCCCCAACACGCTTTATGCAACAGGTACATTCATAGCCCAATGCAGCAGCAGAACTTGTTCTTTTGACATGGTAGTTTGTGTAGACGCCAAGACTGATCTCCAAAGACGTTGACTGGTTTGGCGTTTTTGTTTCGGCTCAACTGCACTACACCATTGTTTCGGTATCAGCAACCCAACAACAAAGGTCTCTATGCATATGAAAAGGCAAGTGCAGTGAACAAAGACAATGAAGTGGCGTTTATTGCATACCTTTGCTAATAATGAATCGAACAGGTTTTTGGTCAGGCAGGGAAATTTTGGGCCATTATCATCTCTTTGGGTTCGACTCCCAACCTGTACTTTTTGGCGATTTGACGTCGGTTCACAACAGCGCGTTCTTCTCGTGATGTATGTTGGTGGGTTACTCTTTGAGGATTGGGATGATGGGGGATCATTTGTTCTTTGTGGGAGAGGATGAATGAGAACAGCTACAAGCCCCTGGATGGTGTGAAGGTGATGGCATCGACGGTGATCTGGTTATCTGGTTCCACCTGCATATTTGCTTTCCTTTATTCATAGAGGCAACAGCGACACACGCATGATACCTCTTTCCGGGCAAGATGATCATTACTTGGCTGATTCCTCATATCCCCTTGGCATTAGAAGGACGCATGCAGGAGCCCATTCTTTTCTATTGGTGCCTCAGATAGTGATTGTGACCACGAGGAAGTAGCTGGAGGCATTGTTTATTATCCACTTGGACTTAGCTAGCTTATTCCCCTCTTCTTGTTGCTTGCGGATTATAGCCTAGATGATACAATGATAAAGTGGTTCCGTTATCAGTCTTGTAATAGATCTATGCCTTTCCTGATACAATAAAGAGTATTTATGCAGCAACCTGTCAACGGCATCTGTGTAACCACCACGTACTATTTCATGCCGAGAGCACCTTGCCTATATATAGTGTTCGCGGCACAATCAGCAATTAGCAGCAACAGCGCCATCACGCGTATTATAGTATAGATAAAACATGATGGTACATCTTCATAATAAAGCGTAGAGCATTTATGAGAATGATGTCGATCAGCATGTCCCAGTGCACCTTGTGTGAAAGTTTCAGGTTCGAGCGGGGTAATCTCAATATCAAGGATTGATGTACAATGTTCATGCATTCATACAAGAGGTGCCCGACCGATTTACTTTCCACTCCTTCCACTTTCCACTCTCAGCCTCTTGCCTCTTCCTCCCATTCTCTTCTGTTGACCAATTCAAGTATACAACTACAACTTGCGAACGATTGTCCTGCTTCAGCCCACCATGTCGATCCTACAACTCTCTTGATCCGATTGTCTTTGACTGAATGACAAGTCCATGGCGTGCACACCCCACTACAACACTCGCGTTTCTTGACACGACATCTCTTGTACATTCCTCTTCCACGATCAAGCGTAACATCGTTCATTCCAGCAGTTGCTATTCGCTCCATTGTCTCAAACAGCGTCCACAACCTTGTCACTCTACTACAACACACGCTCTTGCACACTCCTCTGCCACAACCAAACGTAACAGCAGCTGCTATTAGCAACGCCTTCACTCCATTATCTCCAGCTACTTGCAGCATCCTGCCATGCAGCCTTTTCACGTGAACAGCAGATGGTCATTGTATAGAAGTAGCTTATTTACGTGCATCAACTTGCTTTGACGCATACGAACCCCAATGGATGATGCCGTATCAGCTATCAAGTACACCACGATACAAACAATCTTCACCTGGTTGAGCTGCGATACGAAATGATCAAGAAAGAGGTAGACCAACACTCGGATGGAAAAGGAAGCGTATCAGCAGCATTACTGGACTTGCCATGGTTACGGGTGGAATCACTGCAACCAAGTGCAGTGATTGGGGAAGATGGAATGTCTCTTTTGGTTTTTGTCGCGTTGTCAGCAGGATCGATGCATCGTGGCGCGTGGATATGGCTGAGGATGATGATGGATTGATGGATATGACAAAGGGCTTACATCTTTGACGAAGGTGTCGTACAGCCATGGGGGACATTGGAGTACTCGATTCGATGCATGCAGCAGCTATTTTGCAATCATGGATGAAGGATGATTATGATGGCGGCAACGAAGAATACAATGACACAATTATCCCTGTTCCCTCTATATGATTCATCCGTTTCTTATTGAATCCTGCTCCTTTATCGTATTATTTACCTGATAAGCATCCACATTACCATGTACTATGCTTCAGCTTTTTCATTGAATGAACTTTGGATTCAACATCATCTTTAGAAGTGTATCGTGCTATCAGCTCATATGTGCAAGATGTGGATCACTTGGCTGGTTTCTGGATTGAAAGGGGGAATAGAAATTTGAAGGTTGGAAAGTGAGATTGGATCATTTACATCATCGTCGAGAGGCTTTTGTCCCTTTCATCGCATTGCATTGGTTGAGCCTCCTCTCGTTCATATGCTATGTAGACGATAGGTAGCAACGATTTTCAGCGGTTGGTTCAACGCTTGTATTTACGAAGATAGTGAGTTGTGGAAAAGCGGATTGTTGTCATTGTTTGGTGATGAACGCCTTGTTCATCTCATATGCACACGGATTGTATTATGCATGGATAATCAATCACACCAAGGCTCTTTGTGAGCGACCCCCATTAATCTATCAGCTTATCACCATTCCCAACAAGCATGCTTTAACTCTTTGTGATCACCGGAATACCCACGCCTACCATCAGACGAAAGGCATTGTCACTCTTCCTATTACCCCCAATACATCCACCTTTATTTCCTTGCACCTTCAAAGGCCAAATTGATGTAAGTATCATGTTTATGGATGGGCTTATTCGATGAACGATCCATATACTGATATCCGTAATGATCTTTAGCGTTTCATTGTTATCCTCCTTTCATTGTCATTGTAATTTGGCTTGTTATTAAGGTAAAACCTCATCCTATGCTGAATGAACCATATACTCATATTCATTTTGATGTAGCTATTTCCTTAAATGCATATGCAAAGTTGGAGTAGGTGGCATAGTACACTACAGCCCACATGGTGGTGATGATATACAGCGGCTTCCACGAATAGGCCCGAGGCTGGAATAACCAACTTGTCCCGAGAGATGCATTGATCACTTGAAGCCCATTTTAAAAGTCGTTTGGAATGCAAGGAGCGTACGGAGCCGGCTGTTGGAATGGATAATCATATGCGATGAACCACCATGGCACTGTTTCAACCCAACAAGACTCTACAATGGACGTCGCGCTGTGATTCATCCATCATTTCCCGCCCCATT